TGATTGAGACTGCTAAACCTTGGGAATTATTGGATGTTTGGCATAGATTACCAAAGGACTACCAACATCGATTTGCTTTGCAGATTCGTTCACCATGTTTCATCCATTACCGACATGAGGTACCACCACCTACATCAGCTGCGTCATCGCACCAAAAAACAATGGTTCTGTGAGTTCGCAGATAAAATGTTATTATTGTAGATATAAATGATTTTTATGCAAAATGTTGTTGTTTCACGCATTATTTAAGGAGATGTCATACTGACATTATATCAGTCATGTCTATGATATTAACGCTAACGAGTCGTTCTTCGACGCTCTCCATCGATTTCAATCCACCCATTCGATTATATTCTGATTCTGAATATACTTTGGCTTTGCTCAGTTTCTATTCGTACAACAGTATACCCAACATTGAAGAAGGTACGAAATTCTACTACTATGGAAACGCTGACGAAACTAAATAGAAAAGTACGATATACCCATTGGATCTTACGGAATTGGTGACATTGAAGAATTAATAAACAAATACATCACGCCTAAAACGTTTAAGGAAAACCCTGAGGATTTTTTCTATCTAAAACCGAATAATAATACGCTGAAAAGTGGAATATTCTGTCTGAAGCACTCGATTGATTTCCGACCTGCAAATAGCATGGCTCACATACTGGGGTTTTCATCTACTCTTCTCAAACCAAACATACATCACGAATCCGATCTACCTGTGGATATCATTGAAGTACGCACCATACACATAGATGGTAACATTACGTTTGGAGCCTTCTACAACGACACACCGACTCATACGATATACGAATTTGCTGTTGGTGTATTACGCTACGAGTGCTCGACCAACATTCTAGGCTCATTGATTTCTGAAACAAAGAAATAATAATTCGTTTGGAATTGAAGCAGAAGTATGGTGCTGACTATCTATAAAAATAATTCATCTCCGTACCCCAAGTCAGTCTTCACCAAGACCTTCACTAGTCGACAACTATTGACAACGGAAAATAAATTGTTTCTGGAATCTCTTGGTTATCATGTTGTCCAATCAAGTGTTCAACATTTTCCGAAAAGCGTAAATCGATGAGTCCATACAAAAGGTAGAATGGCGGACCTACTATCCATATATCAAATCTTTCCGCAACAACGATGTTATTGGAATCAACATCAATCAATCTGATGCCTACGATGATTTGTACGTTAGTCTGCTGTTCATCAGTGGAAAAGTTAAGAAGACCAAAGGGGACGGTAAGGTGTCATTCGTAAACAATGCTGGTGCTTTCATGTTTCAATCTGCTAGTTATGAGCAGAGTGGTAAGGAATTGGAAGCAGTTCATGAAATTGGAATTGTTAGTACTGTTAGAGGCTTCCTCATCTTCACCGACGAATTTATCAAACACTTAGCCACCTCCGGTTGGACTTTTCTCAACAATTCAGGCGTCATCAACACAACTCATCTAACATTCAACATGCTCATACCCATCAAGCATTTTCTGAATATCTTTAACGATTATCAGTGTGTTTCCTACGGTAAACATACCATTCGATTAGTACGAGCTAAAGATGATAGCAACTGTTTCAAAATAGAAGAGACTCCTGCTGCACTAACACCGAAGACAGAAGTTAAATTGGGAATTGAAAATATCGAACTGAAAGTTAAACGACTCTTTCCGCATGATCAAATTAAATTGCAACTTTTGAGAGCTATCTAAGCAGACACTCATATTCTCATACCGTTAAGAAAATGGGAACTTCATATGCTGCCAGCTCTCACACAAGGTGCAAAAAATGAAATATGGGCCGTCAAGACTTCTTCGTTCCTCGAAAGCCCTCGCTATGTAATTGTATGTTTCCAAAAAAATCGTGACTACACTAATGTCAACAATGATCCAACAATATTCAATCATCTGAATATTACCAATATAACGCTCACTCTTAACGGTGAGAATTACCCCAAGGAAAATATGCATTTGAATTTTGCAAAGGGGAATTTTCGCAAGCTTATTTCAACTACTCACAATTTGGTCTCAGCTACAAAATGACCTATCAACATAATCCCCTTCTCACTTCCACCGTCTTTACGGCCAAAGCTCTCTTTGTCATCGATTGTTCCAGAAGGGATGAGAGCATCAAAAGTTCCAGTGTTGACTTGAAATCGAAGCATCTGAGGGATTTCCTCAAAATACTAGAGCATGTTGCATAATTGTGCACGACTGTCATAGAACACCTCCCACTCAGCGAAATTATTAAAAAAAAGAACTGAACATATGATTTTTCTTCAGTATCATTCGAAGAGTCAACATGAGAATAGCTGTTGTAGATATTCAAGGCTTCACCGTCGAGCAAAAATTCCATCCTGAAGAAATAGCCATTAGGATTGGAATTCAGTGTACTAACTTTTTACTGCTGCCAAACACACCATTTTCCAGTTTGAGTAAAGAAGATCGTCGTACCGCCTGTTACTTGGAGCGAAACATTGACGGATTGAGGTATTCCTATGGCTTTGTGGAATATAATCAATTGGATGCCATCCTCACGGAAAATCTACAAAGTGTCGATGTCATTTATGTGCGAGGACATCAAAAACATGACTTTCTAACTGAAAAATTTCACGAGTTGAATATACCGACACGCGTTGTGAATTTGGAGGGCTATGACAATACAACATGGATGGTTCCCACATTCGACAACAACGAAGGTATCTCACCCTATTTGCATCACATTCGCAAGCGAACCAGCTACAATTGCAGTATTCGAAACGTAGATATTTTATACAAATGGCTTTGTGATATATTACCAAAATAAAAACGTATAATAAATTTCTAAATCATTTCTTCTTTTTTATCTAACCTCACCGCCTTATAATACCCTCAACGAAAATAGAAAAAGTATGCAAAACGATCGAAAGTGCACGAAAAATGACCGTAAACGCACGAAAAACGGTCGAAAACGCACGAAAAACGATCGTAAACGCACGAAAAACCATCGAAAACGCACGGAAAACAACGTGTTGAGATTACTTAGTTTGAATAGGTTACTGAGAGACCAATTTGCAGTATATATCAATAAACCACTGTAACTAGTTTTACTAGCAAATAATTTTATTCAACAGGGCACCTTTATAAACATACCAATGTATAATGTATATCTCTATATACTCAAATTCCTGAAAAGAACGTAAATAAGAAAATGAACATTTCAAACAAACATTATTCAACTTACGATTGTCCCTAATTCAAACAAATCTCAAAAGAGAATTTCAATATTATTCTCTTTCTTTCAATTTGACGTTTTTTACTAAACAACTTTCTCCTGTCAGATGAGATTTTTATATATACAGGATGAATAATAACATTGAACGATTAAAATTGAAATGCTCCAATTAGGTTCTACAAAACTATGAGCAACAAACTTACACAGTTTTCTTGTATCTTCAGATCGTATCCAACATAAAACAATTTTAGAGTCTGACCAATAAATGGTTTCGTGAATATCAATAGAAAGGTGGCTTTTGATAGTTTTCGCAAAACTTTCCCCCAATCAAAGCGCCATCAAGTTCAAGTCGAGGCATGGTTTGGAGTTTTATAGGTGCTACACGAGTTTTGGTCCCAACAAGTGAACATTTTGTATCTTCTTTGTCTTCATTGAAAATTCTAAGATAAGCAGCTACAGCGCTAGCGCTTTCACTTGCATCAACAAATATGTGAAGCTGTACATTACAGGTCTCCCACATTAGAAAATTGTCGATGTGACATCTTGAAATGGATAGTTTTTCTATCTCAGGTAGATAGTTCAACCAAGTCAGCCATTTAGAGAACTGTGAATCTGTAATAGGATCATCCCATGTAATTTTACTTCTCCATATTTCTTGGAGAAGAATTTTTAAATATACTAAAAAGTTTGAAATGAGTCCTAAAGGGTCATAGATTGACATCATTATTCGCAGTATCTCACGTTTTGTAGGCCTTTTTTTGCCTTGAAGAACTTCTTTGTTTCCTTTATTATACTTCAGAGAGAATACTAAACAATCCGTGTTTAAATTCCACCACATGCCCAGAACTTTTTCTGTAGTTGCTTCGGAATCCATATTCATGTCGATTTCTTCTGGGCTCTGAGAAGAACGATTCATTGTCTTCATTAATATTTGTGAATTTGAACGCCAGTTTCTGATTTCAAAGTTGGCTTGAGAATGAATGTAAGCTACCTGTTTCGCAATCTCAATAGCACTCTTCTCATCATCCATGGAATCTAATAGGTCATCTACGTAATGATTTTTAATAATTGACTCTACAGCTCTTGGGTAATCTGATGAAAATTTGCGTGCATTTGTGTTTTTTACAAATTGCGCACAACTGGGTGAGCATGTTGCACCGAAAGTCAAAACTCTCATGATATATGTATCCAGGGGTTTATTAGGATTACCATCTCGCCAGAAGAAACGTTGCGTATGTTGGTCCTCNTAACAATAGAAAAGAAACACTCATTTCACAAGAAGTTCCTAATAGAGCTTGGAAGAAAGTAGCAACTGATATATTGGAATTTAGAGGTGTGAATTATTTAGTAGTAATAGATTACTTCTCCAACTGGTTGGAAATCAAGGAATTAAAAGGTAAAACTGCGTTGTGTGTAATAATTCAACTGAAAGAAATATTTGCGAAAAACGGTATACCAGAAGAGCTGGTATCAGATAATATGTCTTTCAATAGTTATCAGTTTCATTTATTTGCCAAAGAATGGGATATAAAATTTTCAACAAGTTCCCCAACATACCCGCAATCAAATGGGTTAGCGGAACGAGCCGTCCAGATTGCGAAAAACATGTTGAGGAAGGCTAACGAACAGCGTACGGATATTTATGTAATGCTTCATTTATCCATTTTGTTGAAACTACAATTTCCTCTTTACGAATTCTTCCCTCCAATATTTGGGCCACCAATCTATATGATACTTTCAACAGACATGATATAATTTCCAAAAAAAAAAAGAAATAGTATTCAATTCTTACCAGAAGGAGTTTCATCATGTTTATTTTTGGCATCCAGATTGGCTCCTGCTTGCGCCAGAAGTTCTAGAACCTCTAACTGAAAAGTCATTCATTATATAACGAAAATTGGTGATGATCCACGACACTTACGTGACCCCAACAAGCCGCTGCATGGGACGGTTGCCAATCGTCCTTATCCTTAACATCTGTTCTCACTCCGTTATCAAGCAGAAACTCCACAACTGATATGTACCCGTTTGCTGCCGCTATATGCAACTGAAAAAAATGTAAATGATGTTTAACTTGTCATATCCATGACATCGGATGGAAAGTAGTACTGAGTGAATATTATTTAGATTAAATTACATGAGAGTTTCAGGTCACATGCTAGAATTGCACACAGGATAAATCTTAAAAAGCTAACTCTTGAAATCATTCCTGAAAAATAAAAAACAATCTCAGCATGTAAACCAAACATGAGACAGGAGCTGGAATATACAGGGTGTGTGGAAATATCTATCACACTATTCGACTTGATCAATACACACCTATTTTTTAGATGTTGCATTCAGCCTTGCACTGTGCAAGATACATCAATTTCAGACCACAGTAAAATGAGAAAATCAGCTTGGTCCATTTTTGTTATATTTGTCAATAAATGTTGTCACACTTGCGATCATTGACATTAGCTTCTTAAAAGCAATGGAGTTTGTTTGGTTATTATATAAACAAAGGAATTTCTTCTATGCAACCATTATTATTCTCTGTCATAATTACAATATAATATTACCTCTAAGAAAACAATTGAATAGAACTGGCCAAATACTTGGATGAAAATCCATATTAAAAAACTAATCAATACAGTTTATTGTATGATTTCCACTAAAAAGGGGTTTTACAAAAACCGCAACACGTGTTTCGCTATACAATGCTTGAGGAAGCTATTGTATAGCGAAACACGTGTCGCGGTTTTTGTAAAATCCGGGAATTTTCTACCGCGATATATAAACGATAACCACGAGCATATCGAGACAGTCAAGTGGAAGTTGAAGTGCAGTACACGAAGCGATCTAGTAGGGCGATAGACATTCGAATAATAGTTGAAGTTTTACTTACGATGCACTGTTTGGAACCTTTGGTGTAGCAATGAATATTACTGGAGTTTTTTCCCAACACCAAATCATTATTTTTAACACCTCGACACGTGTTTCAATCACCAAGTGATCATGTTCAAGAGGAAGATTAATTGTTTAATCTTCCTCTTGAAACACGTGTCGAGGTGTTAAAAATAACGATTTGGTGTTGGGAAAAAACTTAATATTCGTTGAAGTTTCAGTTGAAGAGTTTGTTGTATTTGAAGTGAAATACTGTTAAGTTTATCGTTCAGTGTAGTCAATTATTGGTCAACCTACGGGGAAAAACGTAACAGTATTGTAATTGTTTCTCAAAATCTACCAGTTTTATCTGAATTAATCATTGATCTAATCAAGTTTTGTAATTACCATGTTGAAGAAAGTCATATCATGTTTCGATAAGAGCCCAAAAAAAGTTATAATAATCTCTGCAGTGAAAGTTTTTTGTAGACATTCAGTGAAATGGATATTTTTCAGAAACTTTTTGAAGGCCATTGTCAATTTTGAATTCGGATATCACAGTTATTTAACAACACAGTTATTACTCCTGCCCAAAAAACGTAGGTAATCAGTAACCGAAGAAATTAACATAAAAAAACTCAACTCACTTATACTTGAGCACCTACTGGAAATACTACTTACAGGTGTTGCCCCTTGGCTATCGTAATATTCTAAATCGCCTCCAGTGAGGGCCAATTTTTTCAAGTCAATAAGCATCTGTCGTTCTGTAGCTGCTCTCGTTTCGTCTATGAGTTCTTGAGTTACACCTCGTTTAGCCATCTCACCTTCTATGTAATCTAACGCAGCTTCATCCTCACATATATCGTAGGGCATATTTCCGTCGGCATTCACGGCCAATAGATTAGCACCTCGTGCAATGAGGATTCTGCAAAAGACAAAATGTTTTAGAATGAATTTTTCTGAGGAGATGGTACAAAATATCGGTTTTCTAACCCATAAAAATAAGGTAGATAGCTAGTTTTTTCTACACAGTTTATTTTTGCCATTCTTACATAGATTAGGTATGTCTATGAAAGGTAATATAAAATGCACGTATGTGACATATGATAAAAATGGATTAGTTAAAAGTTGTCACATGATACAATACAATACTCAATTTCACTACATCAAATAACATTATTACTTTTGTAGTAGGTCAATGAAGCGAGATTATGTCATATTGAAATATCTAAAGTGATCTATGTGAATTAGCATGCTTACTTCTGAAATAAGTGAAGATGGTAGTCTGATATCAATATTTTCAGTAGATATTCAACAACAAAAAAAGTTCTATTACTAAATCCAGAAATAAAATGTACTTCTAATTTCCTTGGTACAATACCAAGGAATACCAGACAATAGGCCACACATACCTTACTAATCTTAAATGTCCACAAGTTGCTGCTGCGTGGAGAGGTGTCCATTTTTCACTATCCTCGGCATTAACATTAGCTCCGTATTCCAACAGCAGATGGAGCATTGACTCGTTGTCATCGATACAACATTGATGCAAAGCAGTAAGGCCATCTTCGTTGCAAGAATCTGGGCTGACATTTTTCTTCAGTAATCGTCTAACTGAAAAAAAGATGACTGTCCTGTAGAATGATGTGAGTATAAAAAATATAGTGAAAAGTGCAAGCTACCATTTTCGGTTACAAGAGAAACTATCACCAAGTAGTTGACGCAAAAATAGCGTATTGAAATGGTTGCGTTCAGATTCAGACAACATACACATAAGTTTAAAAATATGTAATCAATGACCTTGCAACATTGTGGGGTACAACATTATAGCGCCTTACTCTTTATCATGATGAATTAAATCCGATAGATTTAGTATGGGAATATGTCAAGGGAGATGCCACTCGAAAAATACAACATTCAGATTGAATGATGAATATTATTATTACCCTATTTATACCTCTTCTATGTACTTGAGTGTCTTAAATTAATTTCACAATATTGCTTCATCTATTAGTCTTAAATTAATTTTACAATGTGTCCTTATGTAATAGTCAGGAAAATCTAATAATTAAAATATTATTTTAACAAGCTGTATAGTATACTATTAGGTTGGTCCACCATCCTTATTCATAATATTATTATGTTCACTTCTTTCTACACTCTCTTAGGCATCTAGATGCCTGTTGTTGTTAACTTGTCTAACTAATCTTAATGAACTGAAGTCTATGCAATGGTTTTGTTGCAAAATATGATGGGTGACTGCTGGTTTTTCAGGTCTTCCATTTTTTAAGTGTGCTGAGTTTTCCTTATATCTTATTTTAATAGATCTTTTTGTCTGTCCATAATGTTTTGCATCGCACTCCTTGCATTTAATTTCGTAAATTCCAGACTTTTCCGAACTCTCGACTTTGTCTTTTGGACTTCCTAAAAGGCTCTGTAGTGTATGACTTGTTTTAAAAACCACCTTCGTACCTAGTTCCTTGGTATGACATTTTTTTCATTACTGTTTTCGAAACTTCAAATTAAACGTATCAACTTTATATGACATTTAAAAAATCCGTATGTCTCTAATTTAAAGAACAAAATCAACTTGAAGGTTGAAATTTCGGCTTTCGAAGCCATATCTTTTGAAACTGTCAGTGGTTTCGGTTTTTAAGATCGTCGTTTATTGGAATTTCTTCCAGACGTTTCGTCGGCGTGAGTGGCTGGCATATTCAGAGTGTACTTCCAACATTGGAAGCTACATCACAAACCTCTGAAGATCCCAGCCACTCACGAAACGTCAGGAACAAATTCTAGCATACGACGACGTCTGAAAAGGAATTTAACGGAAGTTTGGTTCTGCCTGATTGGAGAAAGCAACCTCGAAAATCTAAAATATCGAAGACTGATCTCTACAGATACTTTCAATGGTAAAGTGTTATTTGATACAACTGGACTACATTTTTACAGGGCTCTTTTATTTGGGAAACCGCGTATGGTACATTTTAGAATTGATCTATACTCTGCCTATTCAACAATCAAAGTAACTCAAACAATGATAGATGCGTGATTGAAGCATGATCACCACGTTCATTGGGATCTATTGGGTAAAAAAAAAAAGGTTTCTTAGGCTGGCAAATCAGGCGACTAGTTCTGCGTTCTTTAGAAGACAGTGAGAGTGATAAGACAGAAAGAGAAGAGAGAGAAAGATTTCTCAAGTCTCTTCCTAGATTTAACAGGCTGTATGTCGCTACAGGATCGGAGTGGTGAGTTACGTTTTAACGCTTGTGTTGTGTACATATATTGTATTTTTAAGTTTAAAATTTTTGAATTGTCAAGAACTGATACGGCTGAAAAAACTGCTAATTTGTGTCCCTACTCCATCTAAAAAATTTTCCTATAACCAGCCGACAGACAAAAGTCTGTCGTTCCTTAGTGCGACTCTGTAGAAGCAGCCTTGTATGGGAGACGTGCACCATGCATGATAATGTTTTGGAGCACTCTTTTGCTCAGGTGGACAGAGTATAAGATACTTCATGAACTGCAGTTTTATTTTGAAATGGGTATATTTTTAGAAGAGTCTGATTAAATATTTTGGCTTTCTACTTCTCAATCTTTATGTTTTATGTTCTTGAGACAGTTGCCATTTATAAATATAAGTGATAGAGATTAGAATACTAAAAATCATTTCCAGTAAACCCATGAAAATTCATTTTCATTTATTATACAGTCAAGAAACATGAGAGATTTGAAAAATATTTTGACTGCTCAGTCACAACACAAGTTTACAAAGTGAGCAACTCATTCTTGAATATTTTTAGATTGCCATTGTTTGAAAAACACTAAAAATTACTCCGAATCGTGTATCTTTTGTATCGTGCAAGAAAACAATGGATTGATTTGAAAGTGTATGAACTTGTCTGAAAGACAGCAAACGATTTTCTCAATAGGATTTCGTCTTGAACGGTTTACTTTTTCACCGAAATTAGGAATTCTATTTGTATAGAGGAGTGAATAAACTTATTCAATGTGTCTGTACAATTCGAATGGCGAATTAGAATAAAAAACCCCTTTCACTTCATTAATAATCTCATAGTGACTGATACGACACCATTTTAGAATACATCAAGTTCCGGTCCACGACGCCATTATGTAATGTATGAAGAAATGACATTTAGGGAAGTCAAAGAGTTAATTGAAAAAGCAATTTCCGTTTGAAAGAGACTGACAATTTGTGTTTGAAATTACGAAAAACGCAACAAATTAGAAAAATAAAAGATAAACTTTTTTCAAATTTTCTGTTGCATTTTTTATCATTTACGTTGATTATTAAATTTTGTTTTTATTTCAGTTCTGTTCACTTTTTTTTGCCTCATTTGTTAATTAATTTCCATTTCAGGTTACATTAATTTGTTTGGTTTACAATTTAACGTTTTGAATTTGTGGTGTGGTGTCACTGATAAAATATGTTCGTTTGAATATCGTTACTGATAGGTTCGACGGGCTCCTGCAGCATTGCCATTAACAACCACATAAATGAAATTCATTTGAGCTAATTCGGCGTTGTTCATACTTATTTGCAAACCCATCCGGAATCGGCTGCCTTCCGTCCCTCCACGAGTTGAAAATTGCCACCAATAAGTGTTCAGCTCATCTGGGCCTGAAGCAGCAAAGTTCTTGGAACCCACAAAGGGCTTTAGGATATCAGGGGTTATCCGCTGGGAAGTACATTGGTCTCAGGTTGTCGAGCTATCTCTTCAAAAATACGAATTCAGCTAGTGCTGGACTTTCTGCTCGTCTCACTAGTGACTTTTAGCACCCGCTAGCATTAGTATCCTATCAAGGCAGTGCTGTTTAGTGGTCAGCAGCACGCCTTGACTCAAAGTGTAACGAATAAGTCGAAATTTGGCGACGCGTGTTGCCTCGCCTACTTGATTGTAGCCTCCATCGTTGACCGCCTTTCAATCTTCCATACCGCAAAGCCAGAATTCCGTCATTCCGATTAGGAAAGCGATGTTAGCCTCTTCTGTAAGAACATCACGAACCTCTGCATCCAAACGATCCAGTTTTTGTAGCTTCAGGGGCCTAAAGCTTGTCGCCTACTTGTCCGGCAGAGCACGGCACGGCGTTGTTCGTCGCCTGATAGCGACGGGTAGTAGCATCGCCCACTTGTCCTGCTACAACCAGCATATTGAAGGTGCGGTTTTTTCGATTTCAAGGGAATTTCAGTTGACATCTAGAGGTGACAGAAACATGTCTATCCTTAGCAGTGACTCCAAGCAAATTTTCAGAACTTCTGGATATTCTAGAGCCTGCCTTAACAAGCAACTCAATTTTTCCTCGTCCATTTTCATTGGCACCATCTGACCCAGTGGTGTCAACTGACGGAATAGCAAAACAGAGGGACAGAAACTTCCCAGGCACGTTTGGATAAGTTGATGCTGGCAAGCGCTGGCCGGCGACGCGCTCGCTTGGTCAGTACGTCACAGCACGTACCGTTATTTGCCGGACAGGATCGGAAAGCTGAAATCCTTTCCGGCGGCGGACGCTCTTGGCTGTGCCGTGCCGGACAAGTGGGCGATCGTCTATTCATTTTCAGTGTTTCGATCCTATCCGTATTTTGACGGGACGGGACGTGCTGTGCTGTGCCGGACAAGTGGGCGACAAGTTTAATTCGGTGGAGTACTCTACATGTTCTGACTGTCTCCACTGGTGGCATGAATCGACAGCCGCGCCAAGGGTGGCAGAACTGCCTTTTCCACCACTTTGTTAGCAACCTGTTAGCATCCCTACCCACAAAGATAAGATATATAATCACTAAGGTTTTGGGTCGAAAAGAAGACATCCTCCGGTTGTGTTTCACACCACAGAGCCATTCTCACCACTTACCATCCTCGCGCGGGCTCACTACTCTCGTAGCAATGTAAAAGACTATCTCTCAGCTCATGCGTCCGCTCAAATCGTCATTATACCACTGACGTGTATGAGCTACAAGTTGGCCCATCCTACTTCGTACCGCCGTAAAATTGATAAATGCTGTGTCATTACCTAGGTTGTATTAATTTTTTTATATTGTGTTTGTGGAGCACGCAATGGGGCCAGTGTTGACAAGCCATTTTGATGCTCAACAGTTGTACATTTTGTCAGAAGAACAGTAGATTGATACAAAAAAAAGTAGAAAATATATTTTATGGATACATTCTACGTACACGGTAATTTTTACCACTTACATCAGTTTCATAATTATAATAGTAAGAAAACTGGGTCATCAGTAGATTTTGGATCACAACCGGTATAAAAGTAGCTGGAGAGTCTAAACAGGAGATCTACTGTAAAAATCAGTAGGTATGGCAATACTGAACACGGCGCTCCTCTCGTGCGATTTCTTCTTCCTCTGCAGTGAATTGATTCGCAATATTCCCCAGTCTGACTGATTCGATGTGAAATATTCCATTCTTGGCTCGCGACATTGTCAAAAACACCGTGACGGATATTGCTGACTTTGCTTCTATTATGACATAACAGTTATTCATGCGCACATAATCACAAATGTCACAACCTCAATTATCTTTGCGCGCATCATCTCAACTGTCATATCTTAACAAACTGAATGACATCAATTTGCTTAGTTTTTTCTCTTCAATTTTTCATGGTTTTAATGGTTATTTTGCATTTCCGGGCGGAGACAAATCCAACAAATCATTCCAGCCGCTCTCGAGTTTTATTTAAATGGTGTATATAACACGATTTTGCGACTTTGTTATATATACTAGCTTTATGGTTAAATCATATATGGTGTTTATTACCAAGTACTGAGTTTCCAAGGAGGTACAAAAATATACATCGAACCGTTCATTCATCAAACAGATGTTAGATTTTCCTCATTTCTCTTACCTTCTTCGATATCATTTCTAGCAGCAGCTTCCAGTAACACCACGCTGTCGTTGAAGCAAATTCCTCTTTTATTCAACTTCTGTTGTTTCGCCGACTTTCTTCCATATTCTTTTTCTTTTTGCAACCAAGTTCTCAGTTGATGGTTTCTTCTTTTTCGCGCCAACGTAAGTCTTTCTTGAGTGGGCATTTGCTCGACTTGTGGCATTTCCTCTATCAATTGCTGATGTTCCATGATTATGCACTTTTATTTACAAATGATCAGTCTTATCTGAAATATAAAAAAGCGTTTTTTGATATTAATCAACTGATATAATATTAGTTCACAACCCCGAACACATACATATACAGATGGGGGAGAGGAGGAGCAAACAAAAAACATTTTCAATTTATGGGTCATTCCAGTACTTTCATTTATCTCCGTTTTCCTTTTTCCGCTTTACCGGTTTAGTGGGAGAGGACCCTTGCGTGTCTCTACGCTAGCTTGGCTGAATACATTGTTAGACAACATGTATGCGGCTTCTTTGAATTTCCTCCTAAACCAATGTTCCTCCTTGTGTATGAACTCAGCTTGGGACCACTCTATGTTGTTGAAGTCACACAGCAAGACCAAATAATCAATTTTGACGTGGAAAGCCTTTACACCAACGTTCTGGTCGACGAAGCACTCCAAATCATACAGAGGAAGCTATCTGAATACGGGGACCTGGAAGATAGAACGAATTAGAAGTAATTATGGAATTACTAGGATGCTGAAGGACGAATTCTTTACACAAAATGAGGGACCACTTTCACCAGTCATAACCAACATATATATGGAGTGGTTTGAAACTCTGGCCATTGAAGAACTCCACAAGAAACCTCGTGTCTGGTTGAGATACGTTGACGACACCGTTATAATATAGAACCATGGGAATACTGAACTAGATGCCTTCCTGAAACACATCAACAGCGTAAGACCTTCCATCACTTTCACAATGAAGAAGGAAGTCTACAACGAAGTGCCATTCTTAGACGTATTGGTGAAGAGGACCGACACTAAGTGGGAAACATCTGTATACCGAAAACCCACTCACACGGGACAGTATCTGAACCACGAATCCAACCACCATCAATCGACTAAAAAAGGAATCATCAAGACTCTATTAGACCGTGCTTTCGGTCTCGAGAAGGAACTAGTCATCAAAAATGATCTGCAACACAATGGCTACTCCAAAGCGATGGAGAGAGATAAAAGACAACAGGAGCCACTCAAAGAAGAGAAGCCGTCACAACCAGTGCTTGCACTTCCCTACATCAGAGGATTATCGGAAAAGATAAGAAGAATTGGGTCCAAGTACAACATCAGAAGAATTGCATTTACCGGATACCTTGTGAGTGCGGAAAATACTATATCGGTGAAACTAAGAAGCCATTGAATGTTCGCATTGCTGAGCACAAGAAACATACACAGCGAAGGAAAAAATCAGGAATAGCAGAGCATGTTTGGACCCATCAACATAACATCGAGTGGTCCCAAGCTGAGATCATACACAGTAAGGAACATTGGTTTAGGAGGAAATTCAAAGAGGCCGCATACATGTTGTCCAACAATGTTCAGCCAAGCTAGCGTAGAGATACGCAACATATGGAAACCCATAATCATGCGGAAAATGGCCAACTCCCGACCAACGGTCATCTTTCACTAAACCGGTGAAGCGTAAAAAGGAAAACGGAAATAAGTGAAAGTTCCGGAATGACCCATAAATAGTCATCTCTCGGAGGATTTAGTCCAGTCATCACGCGAATACGATTGTGGATACAAACAATTGAAACGACGTGAAGTAACTTAGCTTAGAATCTCTAAATTTTCATTTTTATTTTTAATTTTTGGTTCAATTGTTCTATTTTTACTTGTATTTAATTTCACTGTTATATAATAAATATCAAACTATGTAAGTCCGAACTATTGAAATTCAGAAGTATAAATGCCTCAATAACTTGAAAGTTTATCATCTCCTTGCACTTGAACAAACAATTATTTCATTTTATGATGGCAATTATGAAATGTTCTTTATGAATATCGCAGATTTCAATGACAATTCCAAATTTAATAAAATCCGGGTTTTCCGGTATGGCGCAACCTGCGGCGTTCTAATACTCAGAAAACAGAACAATTACTTAATATCTAACCTTGAATACATATAGTTGTTTTGAATGCTTGAAACCAATGCATTTATCGAAAGAGAAAAGCTTTAACTGAGTGTTCGTATATGGCGTATGGAGACTTTCACTTCTTGCACCGTTGCATATTTGCAAGTCTATCTAATTAGTTCACTCACAACACAACTTCATTTGATCGATAAAGATAAGATTTAGTTGCAGTTGAAGAAGAAAAAGCTTTCTAGTTTTCCACTTCTCCATCTTTATACAAAAAATATGACAAACTTCCGATGGAAGGAAGAACGCAATTAACTTCAAAATAAACCATTTACAAAGATGTGTGGATCATGCATAGAAGTTACAACTACCTTCGCATGAACATCGAATTATACGAATGAAACAGTACTTTGAAAATAATTACTTTTATATTATTATTCCATACAATAATACAGTCTACTCTCGAAAGCGTTCCGTACATTATTCAAGATGTCCGGAGTTAGCAATCGGCATTCCCGGACAATTATCTGACGCAGGTCTTCTAGATTTGTAGGCTTAGTAGAGTACACCTTCGACTTCAGGTGTACCCGCAGAAAGAAGTCCATCGATGTGAGATCAGGTGATCTAGCTGGCCACTCCACTGAACCCCTTCTGCCGATCAAACGCATTATTTCGTGTCAATGTGGCATTGTTTTTGGCGAAAAAATACTGTGGAAGGCACGGCTTGCCTTGATAAACATTATTTTGACTTTGCACCAAGAAAATCAATCGTTGCGAAGTGGTTTGCTAAGTTTAAAGAGGTGAAATGAGCACCGAGAACGATGCACGTAGTGGATGCCCCAAACAGGCTGTTACCGACGAAAACATTAAAAAAGTTCACTAACTAATTTTGGATGACCTCGAAGTGACGTGGATCGAGTAACTGAGGCTACGAAGATATTAAAGGAACGTGTTGGATACATCGTGCACGAATATTTGAGTGTGCAAAAGCTCTGTTCAAAGAGGGAGCCGCATGAGCTCACAAAAACAACAACGAATTGATGATTCTGGGCAGTGTTTATAGCTGTTCCATCATAAAAAATCCAAATTTATGTGTCGATATGTGACAATGGATGAAACACGGCTCCATCGTTTCACACCAGAATTAAAACGATCGTCATCTGAGTGGACTGCACGTAGTGAACCGACTCCCAAAACTGCAAAGACGCTTGGGAGTCAACAACCACTATTATAGTCGAAGTAACTGATATAGTAATCTTAAAGGTGTCGGCGAAGTCAAAGGCCAAAAAAACCAATACAAAGGAATTATGCCGCAACGAATTAGTCCACGTGGACTGAAGAATTGGCGGTTCGTATCGGATAATTTTTACTAACCGAGTTTTATGATTGGCTGAAGAGTCATAAAATTAGTCATGCTACAGAATGTATCGATGAGTACCGCCGTTGTGTCGTCAATGTTCAGTTCAGGAACTGATCGAGATTTGAGCGTTGAAATTCGATATTGGTGAAATTTTTGTTATCTGTTTAAAATGTGGCGTCCTTGGACAAGTACTAATAACAATAACGACGCATACTTTTTCCTGTGTAGTAATTCCAATAGCGCTGGTGAACAATGCGAAAAATAGATACCAGTGAATAAGATTCGGATGCATTTGAATTTCGAAACACAGAGAGTATGTTTCAATGTATATAAGAATCTAGATATAAAGTTTGGTTTCGAGGAAAAAAAAACTATTACAAGCAACATCAGATTTGACCGAAATTCCTTTCTCAACTGTACATAAAATAGTCAAAAACAAACCTTATGAACGCAAGACGCGATTTGATACGGGATTACCAAAACCTTTAGATGTGCATCTAATAAAGTCATTAAAAAACAATATACGACTGTTACAAAAGCAATGAGATTCCAACAACTGAAATCATAAGGAAGAAATTGAATACTTCCGGCCATAACGTGAGCTGCTGTGACAAAACTCTTCAGAATTGGATAAGGAAACTAGGTTTTAGATTTAAAATAATAAACAAACATCAAGCGGTTATGGAAAGCAGAAGAATAGTGGAATTGCGTAACAAATAACTAAATATAGACAAGAACAACGGCAAATTTTCTATTTGGACGAAACTTGGTATGACACTCACGACACAGTTACGAAAGGGTGGACTGATGGTTCGAGAATGTATACGCCTAACATGCCTGCAAACAAAGGATCGCGACTAATCATTGTGAATTGCGGAGGAAGTAAAGGATGGGTTCCGAATTCTTTGAAATTAGGTGGAAAAAAAACTTAAGGACTGCAATGTTGACTATCATAAGAACATGAAAGCTAATATTTTTGAGGAATGGTTTGAAAACGCATTGATCCCAAATTTGGATGCGAGTAGTGTAATAGTTCGTGACAACGCTTCCTATCATTCGCGACAACTCATCAAAGTACCGAATAAAAATTCGAGGAAAGATGAAATACAAAATTTTTTAATGGATAACAATTTGTATTTTGAAGACAACTATACTAAAAACCAACTTCTTGAAGTTTTAGAGACAAAAACATTTGAAAAAGTGTATGCCCTTGAGAGTATTGTTGAAAAGTATGGACACACCCTATTTTGGTGTTTTCAATCCCATCGAGTTGATTTGGGAAAAATTGAAACAAAGCATCAGGCGTAAAAATAAATTTCCAAAATTTGATAAGAAGGTGATAGAGCTAGTTAAAGAAGAAGTATCTAATATTACCGAAGAAGACTGGCAGAAAAGGAGATTGGACACTTCCATATCAATGGTGGAAATAAATTCATTATTGATTTAAATGACGACAGTGATAGTGAAACGGAGAATATGGAAATAACCTCAATGTGCCACGACTTCAACAGGAATATAAAATGTATAACCGCAAAAATTATCAACAATTATATTGAAATTATTTTGAATGTAAATTTTTCATTTATTTATGCAAAAACATTAATCTTCAAGTTCTTATCTAAAGTTGTTCACCTCGAGAGCTCAGCCTTGTTGTACACGTTTTGTGTTCTATATCTTCATTATCATCAATGGTCAAAATTTAGTTACAAACAATAAGGAACTACTTTACCAATTATAATTTTATATCCCGCCACCAAGAGATGATACAAACACCGAGTTTTTTTAAAAACAAATATTAAATTACTGCTCATTGTTTTTTTTTTACCGAGACTCAAGGTGAAAATTGACTAACACTTGAAACACAGAAATAATATATTACTCACATGATAACGATTTGAAAGTATTAGTATTAATTAGTTGGAAGCCATAAAAATATGGTTGTAGCTGAAAACGCGCCTTGTCCCACCTTTCGATTTTTGGATAACTGTGAAGCATCAGAAATTTTCACACAACTAGATAACTTGTCATAATATGTATATACCAAATCACCGAATCCTTTGAAAACCACGATCCTCTAAAGGATATCATACACTATGAAAAACTAGGTCCAAGAATGGGTATATCCGACCCTCCAAGTAACATCGTTAGCAAAATGCCACTAATATGCCTGGAATTGTTTATCTTTGACGGCGTTATGTTTATCACTTAATTAGTTTATTGGATATCTTATCAACGAGATAACATTTCAGATGCTACCATACTTATTCACGATTGGCGTCAGGACATTTACACATTGTTAATAAAAAGGGTATATAAACGGTATGATGTTAATCTAATTTACAAGTCCCTGAAAAAAAAATCGGATTATGAAATTTAAAAATAGAATTTGAAATTAAATTAGGATTTGAGAAATAGCGATTGCTTGGATTTTGGGCAAAGTTCAAGTTGTATCACTGATGTATTTCGAAAGTTCAAACTTCCATTGTCTAATATAATATAAATTGATTTGAAATCCCTGAAACAAAATCAAAAAGATTAACCGAAAATAACAATTTTATTAAACAAAAAACTGAAATTACAAAGAAATAACATACAAGCAACAATCAAAAAAATTAAAAATTGAAATATTAATAAAAAGCAGTTATCATCCGAAGACGATTGTGGATACTAACAATCGAAACGTCGTGACGTAACTTGGTTTGGAATCTTTTAATTTTCATTTAATTTTTTTGTTTTCAGTGACTTCATTGGCATTGGGTGTAAGTGTTCTGCCAGATCAAACACTTTGTTATTAGCAAGTTTAAATTAAAAAAAAAAAGCATTTGAAACTCTCAAAATTTATGGTTCACTATCTTCATAGTACATATTAGCCAGGAAAGTAGATATTTTCGGTCGGCATTCACCAGATCCTACTATATAGATATGTTAAGATAGATGAACGTTTCAAGATTTCATTTCGAAATATTTATTTTCTTATATATATGTATCTCTTCTTGATGCACTATTCAGTAATATTTTGATTGTTGGAATATTTCTTCCCCCAGCTTTGTTCAACACATTGCAGAACTATTTGCAAAGATTTTCTCAATACGACTATGCCAGGACAATGGATAAGAAACAATGATTTTATTAAATGGCCACCACGTTCACCTGACCTGACCCTTCTGGACTTTTCATTGAAGACAAGGTGAAACAACTTTTGGCAATGTTGACGAATTGAAAGAAACAATAATAAGGGTTTGTTGCATGGCTATAATTTCACAAATGCTGGAAAATACTACTGCAAGAGGGAATATGTGTTTGAGGAATGATGGACGGCAATTTAACCATTTAATGAGATATCATGAACGACGTAGGTAGTTAGAAGTATTTAGTCATTAACTTTTTTCTGTTACTTGGAATATTACATGTTCTCTCGATATGTGGAGTTTATGTACAGCTTTGAGTTCTAGACCCAAAAAATATCGGTCTTTCCTTTTTTGACCAAGAATTGTATGACCATACAGGGATATTGAGAAAAACGTCGGGAAACACATGTATTTGTAATACACAGCTGAATTTGTTATTACAGTGGCTACAAAAATGGATGAAAAAAACCAGAGGTCCGTATTCAAAAAAATAGTTGTTTATGAAATCTAATGAACGAAACGTCGCATTGCAAATTGTTTTATATTAGATTGTGACAAATAAGAAATAGTATTGAAAGTTCCTCTACCTTTTTTCTACGTCATTCGAAATGGAGGAGAGATAGCCAAAAACCGAAATTTGACAATTCTAGTTTTTGACGAATATTTTAAAAACATCCACTGATATTCTTGATCTGAAAACGGATTATTCTAGTTCCTCAAAATATAAAACTTTTGTCTAATTTAACGCACCGTTTCCAAGATAGTATTAGCGAGATCAGCTAAAAAAACTGCCTGTATATGTTAAATGACTGATTTCATAATATTCCTTGTCTGTATTTTAGTTATTATTTCATATGCAGCTCATTCACAATGTATTCTCATAAGATTAGTAGTTATTATATAAAAGAGACAAACTAGTTGTTGAGTTATTGAAAGTGTGTTCGGATATTAACTCCATCAACTTCTATCACCCATCAATTGTTCTGAATTCAGATCCGGAGTAAAAGGAGTGCAACTTGTGGCATTTGGCATTTCAGGAGTGGACTGAAAAGAGCAACTTCTTTGGTACCATCACGACGACATGGGAGTGGACAAGCACATTTGCTACTGTTGTGGTGTATTTTGTATTTTTTAGCCGCTTGAATCACACCACTTTGATCATTAATGTTTAAAAATAATAATTGAAATTAATATAATTTCAAATAATGAAAAATGGCAGTAGGAAACGTTAGTAGTAGAACTATTTGTAGTTTTGAGTTTTTAGGTCATCGTATGTTACTATTTCTTCCTGATGTTTCACTGGTGTGAGTAACTGTCATCTTCAATGATCTGTGTTATAGCTAAAGTTGAAGGACCTCCAACATTAGGAAGAAATTACAACACACGACCACCTATAAACCTGAAATCACAAACAGTTTCAAGAGATGGCTGCAAATGCCACTGCAATATTCTAGTAGCAGCGATTTCACCATCACCTCTGTTTTTAGAAAAGCACTAAAATTTTATTTCTTTCCATCATTTATTTTATTTATACACAAAATTTATAAATACGACAAATTACAGACTAATAAGACTTTTTAGGTGGTTTATATATTTATTCTACTTGGAAGCAAATTCTCTATCGACCTATATTTATTTATTTTTCAGATTGTAGAACCCCAGAAAACTCTATGAAACATTTACTCCACAAAAAATAATGTCCTTGTAGAAAAATGGTGATGAATACTTGCAGGCCAGTATGGCCTGCAAATAGGTAGTTTTAGATGCTAAACACTTTAATGTTTACCATTAAAAATAAAAAAGGGCGCAACTCAACTGGATCATCTTTGTGAGCAAAACATGCATCAAAAATACCATTTCCACTGTTCTGGTGTGTCTGATAAAAAAATGACTTGTTGACATATGGAAAAAATTATTTGAAATAACCATTTATTAACAAATATTTCAGGAATTTTCTATTTGGAACTATATTATTTGATATATTTATATTCTGTTAAATTTATAGTTACAAAAAAAAAACGAAAAATGTAAAATTATTTCTATAAAAGTATCTAGGTCTGTTTGTGATAAAGAGGCATATGTCATATAATCACATTTTAGGAACTAGTAAAATTTTCCAAATTACCATAGGTTTAATAGAGGTATTTTTTGAAAAGGTGGCGAAATGTTGCGGACAAATTAATAATAAACTCCGTAGAATACTTTCAATGCAGAAGGATGATGTGAAGGTGGTAAGTCTCGTTTTTCTTTAAACCGGTTGACAAATAGTTCCAACCAAACAATTCCTGTTTTTATCTAAATAGAAGGTAGAATCTTGACAAATGTAAATATTCATGAGAGTTCCAGAATCAACTCAAGTATTTAATATAGAAAACTTACCTCTCTAAATAGGTTAACTTCATACCATAACTACCGTTTTTTTCTCTATATTTTCACATTTTTGTAACACTAACTAAGTAATATATTTATGTGTACATTTTCGACGTTCACTATAAATTCATCCTCTACAAATTTGAGTAATAACTACAATTTGAAATTAAAACACACTTTATTCAATAATTGCACAAAACTGTTTCCTGTCAAGCTTCAGTGCATTTCGAATGCACCTGATCGTAACACAAAAACCCCGTGCCTTTGCAAATTGAACTAAAAACAAAACTAGGTAGAGCCACCGTACTAAGTGTGTTTACTTCTTAGATTAGGTATATCTTTCCTTGTCTAAGGTTTACTTCTATACGGTGGTAGAGCTTACACACACTTTTTAACGTAATGAACTTCAGAGCTTCCAGCTGAAGTCAATAAAGGTTCACTTCGGTGAATATTGTGGTTGGAACCATTCAATGCGCAAGTACAAATAAAGTGAAAAAGAGAGGACGTTAAGGTATGTTCCAAAATTAACCACTTCCTTACCTCTACTACCCAGAGTTTTTGACAGCAGTTACCTGTAAAATATATTATTGAAAGTAACTTTCGAAACAAGACGGTTGTGTCAATTCTGTTATTGATAAGTCAACTATTTTCAATGTGGAAACTGGAAACCATATAATACTGTAACCTAAAGTTTTCAAATTAATTGGTCTTATAATATTCAAAATGAATATTGAATTTGGCCGTTCTTTTTCAAGGGCGCTGACATCGCAGACTTTCATCAGCTTTCGATAAAAATATTTTTACTATTCCTTACTCTAATCTGTTATTATCTGCGTACAATGGGTGATTGTCGAAAGGGATGATGACTCAAGTTATTTGTTGCTATCACACATTTGATGCACATTTTGATGCAAAAAAACCCAGTTTCTCATTGTTAGTATAGGTTTTCTATGTACTTTATTTTGTAAATGTGTTGAAGAAGGAACCTGGTCTATTGCCCACGACAGTGTTGAAAAGTACCTACCTGAGTTGATGATATTTTTATATACTTAGGTGTTTTTTTAGAATATGGTAATGATGAAATGTTATGAAAATCATATGATTCTACCCAAATATTTACGGGAAATATGACATAATTTCCACTCTACAATTACAAAAACCAGTATTCATTTCAAAAAACATTTTGCTTGTTTCTCAAAAAAAAAATAAAAGTGACCGATGTACTTTTTCAAATCAAATTAAAATCATTTATTTCCTTAAAATGATAACATAAAAGGATAAAACGAAATGTATATACAAGAATGAACAAGAAAAATATACACAGTAGCCAATCACGTTGTTGTATTTACAAACTCGTCAAGAGTATAAAAACATTTATCTAACAGAAACGATTTCAATTTTTGTTAAACAACGAAAGGCTGTATATAGACTTCAATTCATTTGGTAAACGGTTGTAAACTCTAGGATGCGTTTTAGTGCACTTCGAGTTATCTTATACCTAGCCGCTCTAACGCGTATTATTTGCAATAAATTGATGGATGTAGCCGTGACTACGTGGTAGGAAATCATAATGAAGAAAAGAGAATTGAAAACTCTCTATGTTCAAAGTATACGTTTGAAAATATCCTTATAGGACGAAACTGCAGTAACGTTAGTTACAAATGAAAGTGGTAAAAAACATAAAAGTTTTCAATTCTTTCTTCTGTATCATTTGCTTTTGCCGAGTGTTTTCATCATGAATATCACTATTGAGTATGAAGTAATTCATGTTAGTGAAAACATAAACTGACAACTCTTTAATATATTATCCAACCAGAGTTAAAATTTTGTGTAATGAAAATGCTTCTGCATGAATACTATCGACGAATGTTGAACAAACAGCGGAGGATGCTTTTTGTTGGATAAATACATTTTTGTTCATTGTAGAGTTGTCCCACAGACATACACCATAGCTCAATCTGGATTCGACCTGGATATGATAAACAGCCATAAGTTGGTTTATGTTGAGAACATTTCTCAATTGTCCGTTCAAATATTCCAAATATAAACTTGACATCTGCCAATTGTCACTCTCATCTCAACAAATCATCGGTTAGTATTCTGACGTTTGGTTCATCAGTTTTTAGGTAACCGTGTTCCATATGTAACCGGTTTTTTAGTAGAACCACTATAGCGGTAATTTTATAAACACCAAATCACATTTCTAGATACTTTTGTAACATATCTGAAGTTTATTCAGCAATGTTCAAGTAAATTAAATATGTTACAAATGGGATAATGAGGTAAATAAAGTTGCTGGCCTAAATGTTTGCAAGCGTTTCTAGTGAATTAGTAGTTCCAAAAAGAATATCTGACGGTCTGAATTGGGATATCTTTAGGAAACTTCAGAGAACAAAAATAGTTTTTTTGTTAACGTTCACATGAAGTCAAAGAGTATATATAACGGTAATTATATTAGTTCACTAAATACACCAAATATCTCAATATAACGCCACTGAATTTTATACTAGAGAAAGTATTGAATCCAAGATTGAATATTGTGTTTGACAACTATTTCATGATAAAAACAAAGCATGGTTTTTTGAATTTTTTTAATAGATTAAAGATAAAAAATGACAGTTTTTGAAAATATCAAATATGCTTTATTTTTCTGGTTCATTTGCGTCCACGGCGAGTACTCTGCCGACGCTGGACACCTAGACACGGAAATGATACAAAAAATGTCAGTTTTTGAAAATATTAAATATGCCTTATTTTCTGGTTTATTCGCGTCCACTGCAAGTACTTTCGGAAAGTTATCTGGTTTATCAGTATTCGAGGTAAGTGGATTTGAAAAGAATTATTAACCATTATGTTTTCACTTGTGACGCACTGTTTGGAACCTTTGGTGTAGTAATGAATATTACTGTAGTTTTACCCCAACACCAAACCGTTATTTTTAACACCTCGACACGTGGTGATCGAAACACGTGTCGAGATGTTGAAAATAACGGTTTGGTGTTGGGATAAAACTCCAGTAATATTCATTGTTTTCTCATAGTAGACATGCACAGGAATCAATGAAAGCTGTGGCAGTTATTTAGCGATGTCTAAAGACCATTAGGCGGAAGAATCATTTATTGGTCGATTTGAAACCTATTTGTTTAGGATTGGTTGCCTATAGATGCGCATTCAACATCAATGAATGAACAGGGCAACCCTAGGATAGAAAGAGAAATTCAAATTTTTTTGTGATTGTGACAGTGACTATTTATACGACCACGTGAATATAAAATTATGCCTGCTTTTTTAGGGAATATTTTATTTGAGAGTGGTATTTTTCATGGGCATGCTGTCATGCAATGGTGCTGTATGGACATTTTTTGTGAAAGCACTTCAGAGGACCAATTCGCTCACTGCTACGGTCATCAGTTCAGCCACTAATTATGTTTTTTCGGTGAGAGTTATGAAAAGTGCAAGTTATCGTCAAATAATAGTAAAAAAAATTCGAAACTAATAAATTAATTTTCCAGGCTCTTGCTGGATTTTGTATATTTGATGAAGTAACATCCCTCTTATGGTGGTCTGGTATGTTTTCAATCGTTACTGGTTTGCTTTTAATAACAGCAGGAGAAGCAAAGAATAATGTTAGTAAAACTATTTAATTAAATATTTTAGTCAAAAACATGTTAGTCTTTTGTCAAAAACCTTTCCAGAAAGATATACCAAGCAGGCAGTGGAAGAATGTTCAAAGTAGGTTTGTAACATAATTGAAAATGTATAAAAACAATGTAATGAAAACGAATTATTGAAATCAAACTACTCAAAATCATAATATGATATGCCATCTTTCAGCAGATAGATGAAATTTATTTAGATAAATCACTACTAGATAGATCACTACTGAATAGATTTCCATTGATCTAAAGCAATCTCCATTATCAACAATGAAAATTTGGTACCTATACACCATTTTTGCAACCACATGTTTTGTACCCATTCTATTTTGTGACATCTTAGGTGCTAAAAGCAGAAAAAAACATTGTCAGAATAATATGAAAAATTCAGTTGAAAAACTGGTGTACCTATTACATGAATGAAAGCAAAAAAAAATATTTTGAGAAGATCCTTTAGAAAAATCTGAAGCGTAATAGAGCGGATGTGGCTTTAAATGTGAGAAGGAAAGTTGTAGTGTAGAAATCGTCTAGCGATAGTAAGAAAAAATAATATTAGATGATTCTACTAATATAAATAGGGAAGAGTAGAAAGAAGTGGAAATGGTTAGCGACGTACAATTTGATCCAATATTTGCTGAAAAAAGTATGAGAAATTATGTTGGTCAAACTGATGTAGGTATCCTATGAGGAATATATAAATTTCATGACTGTATGTTTATATTTCCAGACAAAAAAAAAGAGGATGTCATCTATAGTTGCAGTTTCCATTCGAATTTATAATGAAAATGTAATTAATTTTCGAATAAACTCGTATTTGAGATTATTTCTTGTACAAATATTTTATTGTACCTATATGTACCAGGGGGTGGTACATCGTGGGATGCATGGTGCATAGAGGGATTCATTTTTCTCTTCTCAAATCTCTTTTTTTTCATCATTGCACTATATTTCAATAAATATTCTTGATGTACAAAAATATGATTTTTTTAGTTGATTGCATAACGAATCTATCCCTGTAAAAAAAGTTGTCCCTCTGTATACCACCTTCCCCTATATCCGAAACTTTCAATTCGAATGATTCAAAACTCATGTTTCGCATTTTTTTATATAAAAAATAAAATAAAAGCTACAGATAAAAGTATACATTTTTTTTTCATATAGAAAGTTCATTCATTTTTTGTACTATGTTGATTTAAAATAGTATATATCTATTGGCTTCTCTTGAAGCAGCATAATATATTGATCCAGGCAAAAGAACACAATCCTATGTATGTAACTCTGTACATTGGAGGAATCAACATAAAATTGATAGTTTGTGCAGGAATCCAAAACATGCAACTTGACTTGAATGTTTGGCCAAATTTGTTTCTACACTCTTCAAATATATCAGCTTTCCTTTCCATAACACTCATGGCTGAAAAGTAATAAGTTTCACTTATCTGATCATCAATTCAAAAAAGTAAAAAATTACGTTTGGTCGTAATACCTTCATCTAAAAAATAGTTTAGGGTACCTTGCAAATAGAACACTTACACACGTAAAATACCACCAACAGAGCTGCAGTAAAAGTGAATTGGTCTACTAGTAATTTCTGCACAATAATTTTAGTAGTAGTTCCTTGAAACTTTTTGTCTAGAAATCTATACCTACAAACAAAATATAATCAGAAAGGTGCAAGAAAGAATTGAAATGCCTAGCAAGCAATACATAACAAAATTAATGAGAATAGAAAGAAAAAATGTATGAATAGTGCAAAAATTTTGAATGAACTGGAGATATTACAAAATTCATCAAGTTTGATTTTGAACATATTGATAGTAGATGCCGATGCAGCGATATGATTTTTTTTATTTGAAAAATATATATAAACCTTTTTCAGATAGTGCTACAAATTTTTTTTGCATAAATGTGTTGGGGAAAATATTTTCAGTATTTGAAACAAGATATATTTTCAACTCACCACAGTGATATTAAAGGACCTCCTATACTAGTTCCATATATTGTATATCTACCAATGATTCCATAATCCAGTGGTTGGGTATGTTTCGCCTATAATTTCAAATATTCATTATTATGGCCTAATGAGAGAAAAAACTTAAACTTTTTCAAGTAACGAGTATTGATCATATTGTGAATAATTGAGTAGGAATTTTGTTGTATCCAGTATACATACAACCGTCCGAAAATGTGTTTATTTTATTGTTTACGTACAGAAAAAGCATTTTGGAAAAAATGTGTTGAATGGACTGCCGATCCCAAAAATAATTAAAGTTTTCAGTCCAGATTTGAGGACTTAACCTCTTAAACTTATTTCCTGGGCAAGAAAGTTTATGGCTTTTTACTACTCCATCTTGATAAAAAAAAGCGGGAATCTTCCAAAGGAAGGAAGGAAGTAATCAATTTAAAATAAATAGCTCTATACATGGATGTGTAGATCATGCAAAAAATTAGTCACTCCTAAAAATATAACCCTCTCTATTAAACTTATTTCCATTAATGACACACCCTGTCTCAGAGAGACATATTAATATCAATAACGAAAGTGCAATGAACTTACCAAAACCTTCTTAGAAATAATTTGTTGTGAAAATTCGGCTCCTGTGCATAAAGTTCCATAAATGAGGGAATTTGTTACTATGGGGTGTGTCTTCAATGACTTATTGATGAAATTTCTAAAGTTGTTCATACTGTAAAAAATGTAAGTTTCGATTAACTTGGAGTGATATTTTTTTGTGGACACTTGAAATTCAATTATTTGCTTCACATATTCCTTTATGCTATTGAGCAATATTTGGAAAACTTTATTCTTTTATAGGTCAAACTACAAGACCTATATTGGATCTATTTTGTTAAATTGCCTGTAAAATTTTATGTAGACAATTGTTCACCTTCAGAAATCTAGTTTATAATTTACATCTGAAATTAGCAGGTATTTTAAGGGAAACATTTCATTAAAATTTCAGTAAAAGTGAGTTCCAGCATTGTTTCCATCAAAAAAAGGGGGACGAATAGAAACGAGGCTTCGTCCACCACAGCATTCGCTAAGAGGAGCCTACGTTCTTTTCTCGCATCGTCTTTGATTATGTATATCGCAGTTATAGAAGAAACAGCTGGCATAACGACCTGCAGACCAACAGACTCGGAAAATAGTTATGCCACAGTTATTTCCAGCTGTGAGAGTTTACATTCTTCAACTCAAAGGAAGCCTTGAATATGGGTGATGTTTAGATCTGGCAGATAAAAAGTTTTCCAAAGGGAATATCCAATATTTCTGTTTTTCTGACACAATATACTGCTGTCATTGGACATGTTAGTTCGGCCCGACTCCGTGTTTCACTAACAAAACATAAAAAGTTAATATAACTCGGCTGATAACACACTTTATCACACTAAGTTCACCGAGTCAGGTACAAGCCTGCTGTTGCAAAGCCAGACTTTGATGAAGTGAAATAAATAGATACAAAACTATTCATATTACTTTCAACATCAATCATTTTTAATGCATTTTTAATACACCACTGAAAGTCAGAAATTATGACAAACCATGGGTACCAAGACACCCTTAAACGGAATTTGAAAATCACTTCTAAATGGTTATACATACTTGGTAGAAAGATAAATCCGCTGCGAAGTCTTTATTTTAGGGAAAGGCATTTTGCACACTTATTCTTGGGGTATTCCTCTGATTTCTATCAACCGTGTTTTGATCTCTAGCAGCTCGATATGAAGATATAGCAGAACTAAATGAGCTTCTAACTGTTGTTTCAAATTTAGTAATTCCAATAACGATTTTTTTAGTTTAAGTTTGATGTCTCCGTTTGGAGTTTTCTCGCAAGCACACATATCGTTGAGGAAATGAAATGATGTGTTGGGTGTCAAAACAATAGGATATGAATGTCAGATACATTTCAGATACAGAGTGTTTCTGATATCATTATGTAAGTGATGAAGGTTTTCGTATATCTATGTTCTCGTACCATTTTTATTGGTTGTATTTCTCACTAAATCAGCCGAGTTGAATTAATTCAAGCAATGTTCGAAAAATACAGATTATGTACTTTATTCAGAAATGAGTTAGGCTTTATCCACATGAAAAATGTGTTATTACTCAGGCCAAAAATTTTCAATGACCTGAAGAGTCCTTTACTAATTTTGGAGACTGTTATTCAGACTGTGCATATGAATTGTATATCCGGTTTTTCCTACGACGTCATTATATTACTATAGTCGACCGCAACTGTAGCGACTTTTGCAGCTTTTTGATAGAATAATCTCGTAAGGGAGGGTTCAAGAAGGACCGTTTTAACGTGGTACTTTCTGCTTTATAGGTATGCGGAATATTCAAAACAACATAGTTGTATTATTCTAAAATACTATAATCGTGAAAATGCATGGTGTGCACAGTATTCAATATTTAATTTTTTGTTGATTTTATTCTCAATTTTGTTATCTTGAAACAGGATATGATGCTACACTTTTTTCTTGTGCCGAACTGCAAGTGATTGAAACTGTATATCTTGGTGAATGTTTTGAGTTCAAACTTCTATAGTCTAAAATGGAGATTATACATTTTTAATACAACGTTTCGTCACCGACATCCATTACCAATTTAATTTTTTATTTGGACCAGAAATAAAAAACACCTCTTTTGGCTACAACTTCACTAACACTGTATAACAAATAATGTTTCCTGTAGAGTGGCTCTCAAATGTTGTGTCAAATAGGCCAGGCCCTATCTACTTCTTGATTAGAAAAAATAGCAGTCGTGATTTAATATATACCTAGGTGTTCAATACTACACATTATTTTTCCTAAGATAAAATAAATCAGACATTACAAAAACATATTTTTGGTAACAACGTCTTTACACACATGATCAAACCGAATGGTTTTACCCCATAAGTATAACAGGCTATGATGCATGTTTCCAATTCAAGGAATCTTCTTTCACGCATAATCCGCGGATCGAACTTTTCTTTGATACTAATTCTGAATATCACTATAAATTATTCGAGAGATTACAAAATAGTTCACCTATCATTATAATAAAGAAAAGAGGGACATTCAAATGACTTGAACCTCAATTATGTTACAAGATAAAATTTCCAGTACGACTCTGCTTGACACCATGTTGCAAACCCAGCCTTGCAGAATCCTCTATTTAAGATGGTGTCTTTAGACTTTTTGAGATCAAAGCCGGCTCTGGTGAGTGTCACTGCAAATTGTTATATATTATTGTGCTTACACAGAACACGGATTAGATGCAGACAGATTATTTCACATAGTAAGGCGAGATTACCAAGCGATGGTAAATAAGTGATATAGGTAAGTTAATTGAATGTGTTAAGGAAGTACCTATAGTGTTTCAAGTTAAGTTGTCTTTCAAGCAATTAAATGCAGTTGTTGAACATTTCGAATACACTCCTTTTCTGTTGAATCGTTAAAAATATCTCACTCATTAAAAATCCATAGATGTAACCATATGTTATAGATACTTTTAATTCGGCAATAATATCACTAATTAGAAAACAGTTAAAATTGCGCTTATTATAGCAATAAAAAACATTTTAGGCAGAGATTCGTGAAAAAATCTGCAGGTATATAAAGAAATTATCGAATATGATGTTGGTAAAGATTAATCTAACTTCATTAATGGTCTTTTATTCGATTCAAACACGTGGATCACAATTTTATTGATCCTACTTCTTAAAACTAAGCACGCCCATGGTTTGTTTATCATTCAATTAGATTGGTGATAATGAATTATGTATCTGAATTCATCATGATAAGAAATATAATGTCTATAAATATATTTATCTAATTAGTGTAATAATCAGATGAATCAAAAACATGCCTAGATGTATTCCAAACTAATACCGAGTTTGTACTTGGTAGTTATAGGTACTTACTCTATCAAATCGGCATAAAAACGTTGCACACCTTCAACTATTTCAAAGTTACAGGAACACAAATGCTGCACTATATTATTCTGCGGAGAGCACGTTTTGTTAGGAGGGGATAATATAATCAAGACAAATATTCGTTCATAGATATGTCAGCGTTAGCATTTTGGTGTAGGTAGGTATTAAAAATTGTATGTTGAACTTTTTATGATACTATTCATTCATGAAACGCAAAAAAGGCGCGATACTGAAACATGACGAACAAACTTAGATAGGGCGTGAGTTGAATGATTGAACTGTGATAATTTTTGAAAACCATACTTTTATATGGAGGTTAATTTATCGTTTTAATTTACTGGGCAAAAAACAATATCTTTTGTAATTGTTTGATTCCTGTTATCTACAAAATGTATAAGTAGATTTTGAAATCTAAGGGAAAATAAATGATTGAAGTACAATTTTACCAGACACAAAATACTTGGATGAGTTAGTCAAAAATTAAAAATCTACCTAATTTTCTGATCAGTGCCGTCTTGAGCTCAATCCGCGCCTTGAACCCTGGGTAAATACAGCCCTGTTCCTAATGACACCACCTTGGTTGGTGAAACGGGCGTAGAGAAGATTGTTGTAGTTCTGATGTTAGGGAAAATAAAATTACCAAAAAATATTAGAACAAAAAAACGATAGGAAATATAAGAACAAATTATTGTGATTGATATGGAAAAGAATTAACAGTATGACTGTCATATTTCTGATGATGTTAGTACAGTCTACTTGACCCATTTTTCATAAATGTTTTGCCTCTGGGTTATTTAATAAAAGATACTCCTAACAAATTAAAATTTCCACCAAAAAATACAACTTAAAACAGGTATGCTTCAATATTTCTTATCCGCAACTGGCCTGTATTGTAGGTATTTGAAAGCTTACAAAAATCTTCCAGAAAAGCTAATCGTCATTTACAGCAGTCCTCTACTGTGATTTACAGCACTTGAATCACAACAGGTAGACATACCTACTGTTACACGCGGTAACGGCCCGTAACGTATATACGCGACCTCTTGTATTTTATATTATTTCATTACAGTTTTGACGTAATTACTTTAGTTCAGGATTTTCTTAAGGACAAGTACAAGCTCTACAGGTAAATCCTTAGGGTGATCTAAAAGTGGTGACTGTGCCAAAGGACCGATTCACGGTGGATTTGAATTGTTGGAGATTAAACTTATTTAAAAAAACGTTCTCAGGAAGTTTACTCCACATAAACGTAGTTCTCCAAATGAAAGAATTGAACCTCAAAACGATGAGCCGTCACCAGTCAGTCGCGTATTTTTGTTATGTATCTTCCTATAATAGTTGACCGATTTTGATGCGGTTTTTTATTTAATAGTGAATTTTGTCGGGGTGATTCTTAGATATGTTTCATGAAAATCGCTCGATTTTCTGTTCAAATGTTACCAGTTCGTTTCCAAGAATATGAAGAGAAATTATGCATTCAATAATGGTTAACAATACATTCATTTGACTAATCTAAATAAAACTTAGATATTTTCGAGAGTATGTACAATAACATTTCATTTTTGACTTGATGCTGCAACCAGAACAGTCTCATTTCAAAGGTCTCAATGAGTATATAGCCGCAGTGTCAGTGACTATGGCTGGAATTTTGATACGGCGACCTATACATGATGTTTTTTATTGCTTCAAAGTTGTTTTTTTTTATTTTATTGTTTGATGTTCGAAAAAAGGACATTAGTAAAAATTTTGATAAGTATTTCTCAATGAATAAAAAACATCAAGTGTTTTTTTCATTTAATAAACCTTTCTTCTTGCACCATCAGAGGGCCTCGCAAAATGTACCTTGCCCATAATAAATTTAGGCCTTGCGCCACCACTGTGTTCGTGTCTTCAATCAGGCGGATGGATCTTTTCTGGATGGAATCCGGCAGCTTTAGGGTATGCTTAGGGGCGGAGCTCCATACATGAAAACAATACTCCAAAGAAGGTCTGATAAAGCATCAAAAGTTGCTGAGGTGTGTACAGTTTTCTGGTTCGGAAATGATTGTACCAAGACATATTGGTGTCCATTTTGACCCACTTATTGAAGCAGAAAGCGGAATTTGTCTGTCCTGACATTATCTTTTTATAGAAATGCTCCTGCCGCTGGTTGAGATGTGCATCCGCAGTTGACGAGACAAGTGTGCTGTCGTCAGCAAAGCAATATATTGGATTGATTCTTTTTTTTTCGTTTATATACAACCAAAAGAGAGTTGGATACAATATCCCACAAAATCAATTATGTTCATTTCAACGAGTCTTATGAAAATTTTGGATGAGTTTTTTTCGTAAAATGTATAGTGTAGGAATTAGTTTCTTCAAAATTATTAATAGACTTTGAAGTTTTTTATGGGAAATGAGTTGGACTGAAAATATAAAAAATGAAATTGAATAAAATATGTCATTACAGTTTTTGAGGAACTGCTATAGTTCAATGTAGGTTGATAATTGAAAAAAGAATCGTTAGAAAAGTTGAAAGCTTCTGTAGAATCATTATTGCAGATCTAAATCGTCATCATGTATTTAATGGCTCAGGAAATGTTTGTGAAATATCAGAAAATCGAGTACTAGACTTTCTCAAATAATTCATAGTATAGACATTACTCCTATAAAATTACAGTTTGAAAAAAGTTGAGCTCATTAAAACTATTATCTGGTTAACTTTCAGTCATAGTATTCACATATAAAATAAAAAGTTTCAAGGTTGATATTAGGATTATTCTCAGTTGACTTACATTTGATCATAGTATTACCATGCAGAAAATCACCCGTTTCGAGACTTTTAACTTCTACAGTGCTTGGTAGTACCTACAGTTGTATTAATATAGGATATTGAAAATAATTTTTGTCTAATTTCTACCAAGATTTTTATTTGTTATGACTGGTTTCAATTTATTAAACCATTCTCAAGTGAACTATTGTTCTTTGCAATTGGATATACCTGACTCAAAGCTTGTTTCTGTTCTTTCAAGAAATAATTGAGTCCATAATATTCATCTTGTAATTGTCGTTGACGGTAATTTGTATGACACAGTTTTCTTTGAATATTGCTTTCTGAAAGTGGAATATCCAATGGTCTGTGAAGCATAGTATTGAATGCTGCTACTTTATACTGATATTGATGTGTAGATGAAATATTCTGCCCAAAGTAATGTATTATTTAGATTTACTTTTTGAGATGACAACTTTGGTTATGTTTCTACTACAACTTGTAGTTCAATCACACTTCTCAATTTAGATTCACGTATTCCAGTAGCTTGACATACCCGCTAGTGAATATGCATCAAAGACCTAAGAAATCAACTATTGAATCTCAGATATCCTGAAAATCATTCATTATATTCGGAAACACATTTTGATTTGGAGTAGATGTTGATAATGTTAACTCAAACATGAGATTATCACAGACTAATTTGAGGTTAAAAAGTGATGAAAATATTTTTGAAAATTACTTTTTGCCGTTTATTGATTTCAGTTTTTATCTAATTCATTGAGTATTAGCACCTCTCTGTCTCACATTTGATAAAATGCAAAAGTACCTTATTACTTACTTCCGAAACAAACATCACATTCATTATATTTGAAAAAGCTATAAATATATACATCAGTAGATTAAAACAAACTACAATTAAATATAATCACATAAAAATGTTTTCTAGTATAACAATAAATAAAACTATTTATTTACAAGCGATTGATGGTGAGTCTAAATTAAAATATGTATCAAGTTTACTGGACTACAGTGCAGGTCCAGCATCTTCGTCAAAACTTGTGAAGTGATCACTTTTTTCTTCTATCCTATGCATGTTTTCCAGGGAAGCTGCCATCATTCTTAAATTATCTACACCGGTTAGTAATTGCCTGCAAACAGTTGTAAGTAAAATGATTTGTAACATAATGATTTGTCAACTACCACAATCTGAAAAAATTAATGTAATAGGGAACTTTATACAGGGGTTGAAAATGCAAACTTTCACTTCATTTAACAGTTATTGTGTAATGATATATTTTTCTCAGAAAGAAATCTGTATATCAAGTATTTAATAATTTCTACTATACTCAAACATTGGAACCCAACAACACAAAATTGCATCTATACCTTATTCACAGTAGAATAATACAACCAGTAGCCTCTCTTACCACATGATCCGCCCAAGTTGCCGAGGACCTTCAACCGCTCTTAGGATAAGATTTTGGTTGAGAGTTGCTGTAGTATCGAAGGATTCGACGGACCACGGACAATTATAATAAACGGTCGGAAATTGATATTGTGTATTTTATTCGCTGTTGTTATTGTTTTTAGTTAATTTACAACAAAATATTCTATAACCTTAAATTTGGTTTTTATATGAGAGCACGCCTATATGGTAAAAGAACGAAATTGGCTCAGCACTTCGTTTCGAGGTCACCGAGAACTTTGAGAATTTATGAATGAAAGTAGTGGGAGTGGACTTACTGGTTGATTTTTCTGTCTTATTCTTGTGGTGTGTGCAGATTTTGGCATCCAAAACGTTAAGATAAGTACCTTAAAAAATTGATATGTAATTTTTTTCAATGTGAGATGGTTATTAATCGTTTTAACAGTTCGTGCTAGTTCTAAAAAAGTATTTCATCATGTATTCTTGTCGGCTGATCACGAATCTGACGCTTTGGCCTACGTTCGTATTTTTGACCGGTAAAAAGTCGAAACTATTAATGTTATTATGCTACAGGAACTGACTTCTGGTAATAAAAACTCGTAAAATAACACCAGACTTCACTTTTACATACCGCGGACCTTTATCACCTATCTTTATATACAATAAAAAAAATTGTTCAATCATGATAACCATTTTTTTGGAATGATGTTCTGAATGTTATCTTCACTTCATTAGACGTTTTATCATTTGGTAGCAAAATCATGAAAACTCAGTCAGGAAATTAAATTTTTTCAACAAATTTAGAAAATTTAACTTAGCTTCGCGTTAAAAAAAATCAAAAACTGCTGATTCATCAACGAGCAAGTTGTACTTTTTTGATATTTACACATTTATAACACAAGTTAATACATGAAAGTAGTTAAACATATATACAATTGTAAAATTATTTGTTACAGGAACCGTTTTTAGGTTATGCATCTGATTAGGAAGGAATGACAAAAAAAGGTGGCATATCTTATTCTTCTGATAGTCATATAGAGTGTTCAGTAAAAATGTATGCATAGAAAAACATACCACCTGTTAGTTCAGATTTCTTTCAAATAAAACAATACACAAATGTGGAAAATACGTTTTGCATGAAAAAAAAAGTTGCATTCATACTCATACAAATTTGACAACAGCTCATTAATTTCTTTTCATATTTTGTAAAAGAGTACTTTTATTAAAAAATATGATGTAATTTGTTGGAGAAGATATTATTTTTATGGAAATTACATGTTCTGTATCGAAAAAAAAAAGTAAAGCGGCAAGTAATTGAAGGTGTGCAGTGTGCGATAGTGAAGAGGTGGAGCGCAACTATTTGACTTCAGATTCGCGATCAGCAGACAAAAATATGCAGGTTTGATGATTTTTATAGAAACTAATGCGACCCATTAATACGCATAATTTCCGAAAAATTATTAAATACAATTTATTGATGTACAAACATTTTTTTGCGAAAATATATTGAATTTTCATAGTAAGTTGTCCAAGAGGATCCAAGTGCATAAAGTTAGCCGTTACAGTTTTTTTCAGGTTGTGGAATGCGCAAAGTCCCTAAGTAGGTTAATGAAAAATTTTGACCCCCCACAAAAATTGACTTTCATTAAATATAATGATTTAATAATACCTCAGCGAATGTTCCGCCGTACTAGCCGCACCTCTCAATTCTTGAGCTAACCTATATGAATGCAACTCATTCGACGGGTTATAATATCCTTGGCCTCCAGCAGCCTCATCACCCCTCAATGTTCTGTTTTCAGCCTTCAATGAATTCAACTGACTCTGAAATTAAAATATATCGCCTTTCATTAAAATAATAAACTGATATTCTCAGCTGGCTATCAACCAAAGTCCTTCCGCCCATGCACCTAATTTTGTTTCCAATCAGCGGCTTATCTACTATCTAATGCCACCGTTACTCAGATTTTTATAAGGGTTTTCCCGTGTGTGTTATGTATTTTTCGATTTCCTGTTCTCATTCCAATGAATTTGGTGCCACAGAGGATTAAGGGCCCATATGTGAAGTTGTGTCTGGCACATCACTTTTTGCATCACCTGTAATTTCTGAGTGTTCTATCACCAAGTATAGTAACTTCATTCATAACATTCTCAGACTAGTCTCAACATCATTTTGGGAAGATTTTCGATGTACTTAGTGTAGTATGGCTGTCTGTAATAATATTGATCTGCTCGTTCTGCTGAGATCTCAAAGTAATGTTCCTCATGCATTGCGGGACGGCATACATTTCATAGATGAGATTCATTTAGTATTTAGACACTTTTCCCTCACAAGATCTAAAGCACTGTCTCTTGACACGTGTTTCGCTAATCAACTTGGCATCATCAGAAGATGACTAGTTTCAGTCATCTCCTGATGATACTCCTGAAAATACTTAGGGATACTCCATAAGAAAAAAGTGAAAGGATTACCAAATGTTTTTATATTTATGAACCTTTCATCAATTCATAAAGAGTTTCTACCTTCCATCAATTCATAAACGGTTTTCCAGAATTTCAATAAAATTTGGGATTTTATGAATGATAAAGGTGTGTAGTGAGGTCATGAATCACTGTTCTAAAGAAGTTATCAAATCAACTTTTAATATTAAAAAGGTTGTTTGACCGCATGCATGATGGTTGTCCAATAACATTTGGAAGTGTTTTATAATATATGGAAAGTTTTAGGTTTTGTCATATAGAATCTGGCCAAAAATGTGTTTGTGAAAATATCTCCAGGGCATAATTCTACTGGGTGAGATGAACAAGTTTACTTTTCGAATTCAAACGTATTTCTATGATCAAAAATGTTTTTTGAGTGTCTTGTTATCATCTTCTCGAATAATCGACTGTTCACCTACATAAGTTGTTGGCAAAACATTCAAAATACTTACTCAAGGTAGTCGAAAATACTGACATACAACATGTCAAATATTATGCCCTGAGTGTATTTCATTGAAGACTATTTTCCTTGAACTCATTTCTTGCTGTTTTCTGCATATGGTTCAAGAAACTCGAGACAGGTAATCTGCCAGAAAATGCCATAAGCTATTAATAGAAATTTAGATATGAAATATACTTTGTACCTGAAAGGTTTTCCTTATTATATCAGAAACTTATCCAAAACATTATCTAAAAAAATTGTATACTTTCAAAAACTTTATAAACCCATTACTCACCGTTAAGGTTTTAATTTCTTGTTTCAACTTCAATACTGTACTTTCTGAAGAAGTCGCTCTCCTCTGGAAAAAAACTGTAATGTTCGCATTCAAACCATTAAAATAGTACTCACATTACTCTTTTCTAAATTGCTTTCTACTTGTTCGAGGGCTTTGGCAAGATTTTGAGTATATTCGTGTTCCTTATTTCTAGCTATTTCTAGTTCCCTACTCAAACAATCACACAACCGACTTTTTTCAGCTAACTGTCGCTTAGTGATGTCGAGTTCATGCCTCAATCTTTCGACTTCCCCTTCCGGGCTATGCGGAACAGACAGTGTTTCACATTTTTGTGCACAAACAGCACTATCTGCAAGAAAATCTGGCAAACTCTTAGAGTTTCCTACCTAAAAACAAAAAAAAAAGGAAAAAATAAATCACTGGAGATTTCAAATGTGTACAATTGATCATAAAACAAGGCACCACTCTCAAAGTATCTTAAGGATCTTCCCGCAGCACTTGTGCATTTACATAAAAAGTATGATTATACATGTATTATAAAAAGTATGTCTATAACTTGCTTAATTATTTGAACACATGTCCCGAAGGAACTTTTGGATTAGGGATCGTTAAATAAAAAGATCATCAAAAGACATTTTCTACTGTACAATATAATTTTAATTCTTTTCTGAGATAAATTAGCCTGTCAACTATTTTTTATAAAATTGAAAATATTTAAGGTTTGGTGTGTAAATAGCAGATTTTATTGTATTCAAATCATTGAAATTAACGATATTATTTCAAAAACCATGGTTCATTATAGGAATTCCGATTTGACAGATAAGCGTTACATGTATGCACAAATTGATGACACACGTATGAAGATCCATTGACGCTACTATATTAAAGAAATATTTTTATTTAGTTCGACACGGAAATGATACATTTTTATTCAGAATGAATATGTTTCAAGAAGACAGAACCTATAAAAAGATGTTACCTCACTAACTGACAGTCCATTCCTTGAACCGCTAACTGACGAACCAGGAACCGGTAAATCTAATGGAAAATCATCTGGAGGTCTCACAGGCAAATCTAATGGCACAGGTCTTGCATTACTCTCTGGAGTTTCTCTAACCGCATCTTCGTAGCTATTCCTATTTTCTCTGCTAGGCGTGAAGTCAGGTAAATTATCAATGTCCAGATTGTAGTTACTATTAGGGTGGCTTCCCAAGTAACACTGTTCTATGACTAGATGATCTTGCACAAAATCAGGCAGGGCTGACGAGAATTCAGGAGCAATTCGAGGCTGCTTTGTTTCAGAAACGTGATTACTGAAATCAGAGGATGAAGATCTACTTTCAGGGTAGACCTTTGGTCTGGCTCCTTTATTCAGGTAGTTATTACCAGAGTCACTCCGTAAAAAATGTTTGAATGAGAAGGGATTTTCTTCTCTTTTTTGACCATCAGAAAAACTCGAATTAGATCCTGAAAAATATCAGAAGTATAAAATGAGACAATATTCAGAAAAACAAGGTAAAGTTTATCCTGGCTTTGATTAAATTATTTGCTATTCAGCAATTTTTTTAGATTCCTCCAAGTAGTGATTCAGAAATTTCCAGAAAATGGTGTGTCCTTAGTTGATACTTAATTACTCTCTTCAAATCGTATTTTTACAACCTTAAGCGGTATGTCCAACTCAGTGACCTCAAGTCTGTCGAATATGTAGCCACATCTGGTGAACCAAAAGAGTCAAACCTAGGACCCTACTGTTTATATGTTCATCAATGATATCGGAGCTGAGATTGATGTCAATTTCCTTTTATATGCAGATGACTTGAAACTCTATTACTATATAACATGTTCTAATGATTGCGAACGTCTCGCCCTGAATTTAAATTGTGTTGCTACATGGTGTCAGAAGAATAATCTATCTATCAACATATCCAAATGTAATGTCTTACTCACTGAAAACGAATCTGACATTACACAGTTATGTCATAAACAATAAAGTTCTGGAACGTCCTGACACATTCACTGATCTACGTGTTACTTTTGATTCATTACTCTTTTTCGATAAACATATTGACACTACTCTGACAACTGCTTATCGCATGTATGGATTCTTACTTAGCAATACAAAAGACTTCGAAAAAAAGCATTGAAATTACTTTATTTCACTTTTGTTTGATATAGGCTGGAATATGCATCTGTTGTGTGGAGTCCCTACTATCAGGTTCATATAAATCAACTAAAAGCCCTACAGAGGCTCTTCCTAAAATATATGTCTTTTAAACTTGAAGGCACATATCCTACTGTAGGAATACCTTATTATGACTTGCTTAAAACTCAACATTTTTGTAGTCTCGAGGTAAAGCATAAATATTATTCATTTCTTTTTTTTTCAAAATTATAAACAATATCATTACCTGCTCTCAATTGTTACATATGTTGAATTTTTGGGTTACTAGACGGTCATCTAGGAATAGTGTCACCTTTTATCTCAACACTCCGCAAACAAATATTATGAAAAAAACCCCAATTTATACCTCTAATTCTGTTAGTCTTGTCCTAGATATATTCAACTGCCAGATTATACAAATCAAAAGACATTTCTTAGCTAACCGACAGTTCTGTTTTTATTTATTTTTTATATAGATTCACAAATTATATTATGTAAGTACATATTTGTAAATGCTGCTGTTTCTCCCTATTCTGTAATTGGGTTCATCTTGTAGAATAGTGTATGGAATAATCAAATAAAAAATACTTCTATTTATTTGAGTTATCAACTGATTTGTGATATAGGAAATTTGATACTTCATACTGGATCCTCTGGCGTAAAATGAATATATTGAAAACACTTTCCCCAACACCAGAACAAAAATTATGGTCTCTCGACATGTGTTTCGCTAACCAAGTTAGCGTCCTCAGGACGCTGAAAGATCCATGAAGGTGCAAGCAAAACTATCTTATTATAAATAATGAAAAACTTTTTTATTGAGTCCACAAGTGCTACTAAACCACCCAATAATCTAAAATTCAAAATCAATAAAAATGAATTGTCAACATCACAAGTAAACCATCTATTGAAAAAATGTCTGCGCTATTTGCTAACCAAGTTATCATCATCAGGAGATGACTAACATCACAAGTAATCAATTTCCGTGGCATAGAGCTGGATTACAAAATAAACTTCGGCCCTCATATAGATTTGTTTATGTAAAAAATTCAACAAACTATATTTGGCATTTATCAACTTGAAACATAATTTCCACAGAAGCTATCTTATCAACATCATTATGCCTTAGTAGGATCAGTTGTAGCATTATTTTATGGGGAAGGGCCATCAAAATACCATGATTCTTTATGAAAAAAAAATCTTTGACCTTAGCTGTTCAGAAAGTTGTAAAAATACTTTTTAATATCATATTTGAATGATATTTTTATGTTATGATAAAAAATTTCACGTAGGTAATGTAACATGCCTGTGTACGATATCTGTTCAAGTTTCATTACAAATATTTGGAGTATAAAATAAACTATATTTCCATCTAATGTTTATATATATGGAAGTGATTGTGAACAGTTTTCATTCATGTATTCAATGATGAAGAAGTTGAATGCCGAATGGTTTCCTTTTCCAAAATAATATAGATAGTTTTGAATCTTTTATTCCTTCCATATGATTTGAAGAGTATTTTGAGTTTTTTCCGAAAATCTCTCTCCATCATACACTCTCTATTATTACACATCTAGTAGATTTTTTTTTTGTAAAAGTAACTGAAGATTAACTCACCAGAAGCTCCTACTTTATGGTTGTCCAATCTATTTGATTCTCTATTGTGTGAAGAATCATCACCCAAATCTAATTCCAGATGTGATGATTGTTCTGGTTCGGAATCATTATCTTCTTGATTGTTACCAAATGATTTTGCGGTTGAATCACCATTTGCCATTCTAAATATGTTACAAAAACAAACTCGCATACAAAATCCACAAATAAATTAACGGACCAACAACGACTGAAACACAACCTCAATCTACAAAAAGAAACATTTGACTTTGACAACTGTCAAAAATGTCAAAAAGGATTTTCGACTTTAGAGTCGTTTTCTGGCGCTTATGTCAAAATGTATTCGTCTGTGATTCGAATACATTCATTCTGGTGTTGAAAAGATGAAGTCACATCAACTATGATTGGAAAGTATTCATGATGATTCAAAACTAGCGTGAGGTTGGTTTTGAAACAGAATTTGACGGTTACGTTACGTCAGTTTCTGCTTTAATTTCATCTTTATAGTTTATAAAGTGCTGAAAACTTTTTATCAAATACGTTGTAAGAATGTACAAAGAAAAGCTAGGAAATAATTACTTGCACAAATCCGATTCTAATTATTGTGGTTATAAAGAATTTCTGAAGAGATTCAGAAAGATAAATTATTAGCTCTGTTACGCCAGCAAGGCAAAGTAGGGAAATCGCATTTAGAAAATGCCAAAATTAGGTACTTTTTAGGTACTGAAGTCAAAAATTAGGTGCTCTGTAACTTATACCGCAACTCAATACTCAAACTTGCGTTGCTTGCATTATGTGATGCTAGCAACGCAATGAAAATAATAATAAAATAATGAATGTTAAGAGAACACTATTTGGTGCTAATTAAGTGCTAAACGGTGAGGATCGTAAAATGTTCTAATTAATAAACAAAAGCTTCCAATTTCGCTAAACAACAGATCTAAGAATCAGGTCTCTCGAAAACGAGGACGAATGCTCTATCAGGTATAAACTAAGCCTGGTAATAAAGTGCTAATTAGGTGCTTCCAAGAAATTAAGATGAAAACGATCGCGAATAAGCGAAAAAAAAAATCGAGATACCCGATATAGTACGTTATTTAATGAATAAGGGCAAGAAATTAAAGTGCTAATTAGGTGCTCACTGGATAAATAATAGTAAACCTAGATTCCTATGGGGCATTATGGAAAACCACTATGACTGATGGACTGAGTTATTATAGTACGTTCCTCGATAGGTAAGGGTATGAGAATAAAGTGCTAATTAGGTGCTCATTAGATATTTATAGTAAATCTAGATTCCATAATTCATATGGGACTTATGGACTCGATAACCACCATAAAAATTTTTTTAAAATATATTTTTTCCGTTAACCAGCTATCGCACCCCTACGAACGATAACCCTCAGAAATCAAAATTTGTGCGATCTAAGAACTAACAAGCGTTCAGCCTGGGGCTTGAACCATTGACTCACACACACCGATTGACTGAGTGAACAAAGTATCCACGTCGAACCGCCCGGCTACCGACCGGCTCAATTTTCACTTGCTATCGTCCAACCCGTGTTAGGAATCACACGTTAGAAGGTGTAAGACCTTGTTAGTTCTTAGCACGCACAAGTTTCGATTTCTGAGGATTATCGTTCGTAGGGGTGCGATAGCTGGTTAACGGAAAAACATTTTTTTCATGGTGGTTATCGGGTCCGTGGTGGTTATCGGATCCATAAGCTCCATATGAATTATGGAATCTAGATTTACTATACATATCTAATGATCACCTAATTAGCACTTTATTCTCATACCCTTACTTATCGAGGAACGTACTGTAAGAACTCAGTCCATCAGTCATAGTGATTTTCCATAATGCCCCATAGGCATTATGAAATCTAGGTTTACTATTATTTATCCAGTGAGCACCTAATTAACACTTTAATTTCTTGCCCTTATTCATTAAATAACGTACTATAAAAACTCCTAAAAGAAAATAATAAAAATAAAAAAGTGTAGAGATTCCAAGTCACGATTGTAGATACCAACAATCGAAACGTCGTGAACTAACGACTAATTTTTGACTTCGGTACCTAAAAAGTACCTAAAGAGTACCTAATTTTGGCATTTTCTAAATGCGATTTCCACACTTTGCGTAGCTGGCGTAACAGAGCTTAAATTATTCCATCGATGAAGCCAGAGCTCGAGGCTTTCGTAGGGTGGTAGTAATTTGCACGAATCGCATTTTTTCATTATTGCGCCGTTTTTTAGAAAATCATTTTCAACTTTGTTTTTGTAGACATTCATCTGTTTCTAATTTGAACTGCCTCATATTTTCAGGGGCTGCATTGACTTTTATATTATATAACTGAACAAACGTTAGAATGTTTTTAATACAGTGTTATATAGGTAGGTATTGATGTGGCTTGTTATAAGCTCTGGAGAAAACATGAGCAATGATATCCTCTTTTTTTGGCTTATTCAAATTTTGAATCTGCATTAATTACTATTCTTCGCAATCGTGCTGAACATTAATTAAAATATTTTTTCAATATAAATATTAAAGGAAGGTGATCATTATCTAAATTGGTGGATTCTTCATAATCTAAAGCATTCTACTTCACATTTCATTTTTCTACCACTTTTGTTTCATTTATTATTAGCCGTTGCTTCCATACAGGCGAAATTGTGTCCAGCTCGATACCTGGTGCCGATTCAAATGTGTAAAAAAAGAAGAATTAGGTTATGACTTGTGACGTTTTTGGGAAAATTTCCACTTGCTTTTTTATAATTTCAACTCATTGGATTTATAAATAGTGGTTCAAGAACATTTGCATTTTCTTATCCTATGATATCGAAATAATTTTTTAAGAATTCGAAAATGTCAGACGATCATATGCCAAAAGTTGATATAAGTAAATTGAGGCAAAGAGAGCTGCATTTCATCAAGGAGGTTGAAGCAAAAAATTTGGAAAGAGTACAAAAGTTGATGGCTCTTCGAAGGAAAAATCTTATAACTGGACTTCTATTAGGAGTTGGTGTTCTTGGTATCTATGGTTATTCTATGTATGCTGTAAAGCAAGAAACTTTCCTTGACGATTTTGAGGAACCAGCTAAAGTACATCAGTAATGGCAGCTTCCTTACCACATATTCGTTTACCTCCTCTTCCATCAATTAGAGATTTAGTTAAGTTGTATCGCATTAGAGCTCTAAAAAAGTTATCTCAAAATTTTTTAATGGATGAACGCATAACTGACAGAATTGTTAAAGCTGCTGGACACATCAGGAACCATTATGTTTGTGAAATCGGTCCAGGCCCAGGAGGAATCACCAGGTCTATAATTAAACAGTCTCCCCACAAGTTAATCGTTGTTGAAAAAGATGCCAGGTTCTTACCAACCTTGGAGATGTTGCAGGAAGCCTGTAAAGGTTACATAAAAATGGATATAGAAATTGGAGACATCAGATCATATAACTTGGAGGCAGGCTTCGCAGGTGCTCCCAAACTCGGTTGGTTTGAAGCTCCACCACCAGTACACTTGATAGGTATATTTATTTAATATATCTTGTGTTATGTTTGATCATAGGTTATGAGCGTTTTCAACTGATATAACCATATCAAAAAAAGAATAACATAAATTCTGTAAAGATGTCATTAGATAAAATATTCTTGTATAATTTTCAGCAAGAGCTTTTGAAATAAGATTGATAAGTAAGTGTATTGATATATAATTGAAGATTATAGTGATTTTTAGTGCCGCTTTGATGAAGAAAAAAAGGTTTATAATAAAAACCAGTTTGTTGATATAATTTTTTTTTGGGTTAGTTGTCTAGAATTTCCAGTGAATACAGTTAGAATAATGAAGGAAGACACATGCGTCATCATTAAAATATACGATAAAACACATACTTTTATATAACATTCTTTTGTGAAAGAAAGACAAAACAGATAATCTCAAGTTTTTTACAGATACAAACAATTATTGATATATTGAATTTATTTCATTAGGCAGTTACACACTAAATATTGCTTTTGAGGAAAATGAAAGTTTTATATTTCTTGCACTTTAAAATTTTCAGGAAATTTGCCATTCAGCGTGTCAACAAATCTTATCATTAGATACTTACAGTCTGTCTCTGAAAAAAATTCTGCATGGAGTTTCGGAAGAACTTCGATGACATTGACTTTTCAAAAAGAAGTGGGCGAGAGAATGATAGCACCTATAATGCACAAACAGAGATGCAGGTTGTCTGTCATGAGCCAGCTGTGGTGTGAAGTCAACTATAAATTTACAATACCAGGTTCAGCCTTTCTGCCTAAACCAGATGTTGATGTAGCTGTTGTAACATTTATACCAAAAAAGTACCCACTTGTTGATTTACCCTTCAAGATGGTAGAAAAAGTTTTGAGGAATATATTCAATATGAGACAGAAGTATTGTATTAGAGGTGCTGAGAGGCTATTTCCAGAAGATATGAGAGAATATCTAGGTGAGGGATTCAATAAAGGAATCAAATAACTTTATTTAGAAATTCTAATATATCTATTTAAATCTGTTTTTCCGTTTATAAGACCCCTATGATAAGGTACGATAAGGTAGTACTAGATGTGTACAGTACTATAATATTGAATAATAAGAGACTGAAACGAAATAATAATGTCATTTTTCAGTTTACAGTTACATACAGTTAATAATGCATCTTGGTCAAAGGTGTAAACTTTCATAGCCGAAGATAACTAGAACTATTTTTGGATCCTGCACACCACCTCTGAAAAACTATTTAGACACCAATATACTGAGTTTACTGAATTTTTGGCATCTCCCAAGAATATTTTCATATTACTTGATATAATTCATTGAAAATATTTTCAATATATGCAATTTTTATGTATTAATAATATATTTTAATTTTAGGTTTGAAACTTCTAAAGTTAGCCGAAGTTCCACCTACAACCAGACCTTTTCAAATAAGCAATGAAGAATTTGTAAGGATTTTTTATGCATATAAAATAATATGTGAAGAACACCCTGGAATAGAAGATTATGATTCAAGGGGACCTAAACTCGTAAATGATGAAGAATTGGAGGTTTAGTTTTGATTAGAGCCTAAATGTTAGCTTCTTGTTAGTTTTTGTTTCAGTTTCTAATATACTTTAAATATAGTACTTCAAAAGAGATATATGCCTTATTTTGTGTTCAACTTGTAGCTTTGAGAGTTTCCGTTCTGGTATTCTTACACAAGATTCCTGGTGTTTCCACAAATTAGTTCTGGTATATGGGAGTCGTTCTGCCTTTGAGAAAATCTTCATTATTTAACAGACATGGCTGGTCATCAGTTTGAATTTATGATGGGGGATTTTATCATAAATTATTACATAGGAAAACTGTTGTAAAGCAAAATTTGAAAAATAGTGGAATATGAGAGAGTATTTATAGACAATGGAAGACTTACTAATATAGTTCACCTGTATGTAAATAATCTTTCAGAACATTCGATCACTGGGAAAGTTAGCATGTTTGCAGATGACATAACAGTCACATTGTCTTGAGAAACCTTTGAAGAACTTTATAAGAACATTAACATAACTGAATGAATAGGAGTATATTTTCAGGAGTGTCTAATTTTTGTAAAAAGAGCCTTTTTGTTTTCACGTCTGCTTTATAGAAAAAATTGTGAAAGTAGTTGTTTTGTGAAGGCTTTTCTTTCAGTTTGTACTTTTTATTGAACAACCATTGTGTAATTCATTCAAGAAGAAAGTAATAAAAATCATGAAATTATGAAACAACAAAAATTAATTGGCCCTCCAGGGTGACTTCATTGATTCCAGTGGCACATTTGCTTTTTCAGCTGCAGGAACACCTGGAAAAACCTGCAGCATGACATCATCTGAAGATCTTGATCTGCCAATGTCCTCTCTTTTATAAAACAAAATGTAGGGTGTCTCTAGAGGTTCCAATAAATTCAAAACATCGCCAGAACACTTCGTGACACGACTATCGTCAAACTTAAACCAGTCCGTTTCGTCTTTGACCAATGCGTAATAATGACCTGATTCAACGCCAGAACCACAGTGAACAATGGCTGCATGAAAATTATAATAGCGGCCTGCTAGATTGAAGTGTTCATCTATTTCGAACTTTTGTTAGAGTTTAGTGCATCCATCAGAGGAGTCATGTTTGAAGATCATCAGTATCATTATAAGATTGACTGGTGCTTCAGCTATACTTGTTTTCTTATAATAGTCAGTTATTTTTTCGCATGTTTGGCAATACAGTTGATCATCACCCGATAAAAAATCCATTTTCAGATGATTTGAGAATCAGCTTTGCACGAACTGGTTATCAGTCATATTAGGAAGCACTAGTTGAAGTTCCAGAAAATCACATACGTTTTTGCTACCTCTTGAACATTTACTATAAAGTAAATAAGTGAGGATTTTTCCAGCAAACGATTTACAGACACCAGACAAGATAGACTGTACGGAATCATTCAATCTAGAGCGGTCAGGAGTATTGATTCTGCTATTTGTTTGTTCACAAAGAGTATTCAACTTTTATGCATGATCTACACATCTTTGTAAAGAGTTTATTTTGCTTTCTTCCTTTGGAAGTTTTCATTCATTATTTGTATAAAGATAAATAAGTAAAGCCAAAAAGATTTTCCCCATTAATGAAACTGCTCACTGAAATGAAATTATGGATATATGAGGATAAAACGTTTTATTTAAATTTTCTCATGAAAAAAAATATTCCGGAGTATTTTAATAATATAAAAATAATATCAAACAACTTGGAACTTGGAAAGTTTCTAATCTCAGCTTTTTTCCACGTATAATTTGTCTGTAAACAACTAAACAAAGCATACTAGGCAATTCTCCAAATGAAAATGATTTTAAATAGGAAAGAGACCCTGAAATTATATTATGCTTTTGCTCAGTTATATATTATTTAATATCCCAACATGCGGAATAAAAACTGAACACAAGAGAGAATACTCGTTATGAAAAAGGATAATGAGACTCGTGTAAGATTTGGAATACAGAGAATTCTATGGATGAGAGCCTTAGGAAATGAGTTCAAATGATCTTTACCTCAAAATGACCAAAAATTAGCGCCAAAAATTAATATTTCGAGACGTGCAGTTTCCATCCTGCGAAAGAGGTCATGAACTCGAATATTCATTACATCAAACGACCATTGTTTGATAATTCCTTGATTTATTCAAACCTCGCCCGTTATTTCCAGACCTAAAATAGGTACTATACTTCAATAGTGTTTAACTTGTAAGTGCAGTCATCTACAATGAAAAAAGGGCTTCAATGTGTGAGAAAGTTTACTACAAAACCTCAACTTCCTGAATGCGATTTTACTCCAAAACCCTATAAGGTACGACTTTTTTATCTGAATACAGTAATAATGATTTCATTACATGATTTTCTCATCTCCTTTCATTAGAAAGCTCATTTCAGTTCACGTTGTAGTTGAACTATTGTTTGATTTAACTAATTATTACATTCATCTAAGAAATCCTGAAAAGTATTGGGAGGCAGAGGAGGGAAACACGATTTACTTAACAGTCTATGTAACTCATTCAAAAAAATGCATTAATAAATAATAATGTATCAAGATGCATTCGAGTCAATGTCCGATCGAACGGTCGAGCTTTTAGGGTCATTAACGTTAAAGACTCTTGGAATAATCAGTCAAACACTATCGATGGGTCATCAATTTGAATGCAGTAAAGTTAAACCTAGTCGATTCCGATTGTAATTAATGAAAAATAACGTATTACATTACAAATGAAGAGTTATCATTATGAAATTCTCGCAAACTATAATAGGGTCTATACCAAAAGTTATGCACTTTTAGATAATCTATTTATCTATCTATCTATGTCTATCTGTCTATACTTTTATAAATGTGAAAATTTGTGAGGATGTATGTATGTATGTTTGTGACTCTTTCACGCCTAAACGACTGAACGGATTCAGATGAAACTTTACATAAATACAGCTTTACATCAGAATAACATTTAGGCTACAATTTACAAAGGTTTTGTTTGATTTTGGTCATCATGTAACGATAAGTATTAAGTAAGTCGGAAAGATTCTTGCTCTCTGAGAGAACTATCTTGGCGTGCGCTGTCTATATCGTTGGAGTTACATGCAGGTAATGTACCGTAAAATTGTTTATCCTAAATAGTTCCAAATAAAAGTCTGCGATAGCATGTGGTTGCCACTATATGAGCCATAAATACAATTAAAATTGATACTTTTTTACACTGCACATTTCAGAATATCTGACAAATTCTTATAAAAATTGATACAATTGTCGTTTTAGGTATTTATTATAGATAACCTTTGTGTTTTACACGAATCGTTTGAACGTTATGACGATAAGATTAACTTGACGCAACGCAGTAAGTCATTACGCATCGCGTCTACTGTAAGACGACGGGTGACGATGCACGGGGGTAGAGGGGCAATCTAAGCAATGAAGCGCCATCGCCGAGAACGAGACCCAAACGGGGGCTTACGCGTGAGGGCAGGCGCCGTTGACGGTTGTGTTAGTTTTGCGAATTTATTTATAGGCAACATAATTCAATTCTCGAAGCTATCATTACTTAGTGCAGTTGGCATATTTTCCCGCTTTTATATTAACGTACAGCCGAAGCTACTGAACCTAGAATCTTGAAATATGCAGGTAGGTTCTTTGTACAGGGTAAATGAGCACCAAGACAGGGAATCAGGAAAATTTTCACTTCCAAGGGAGAAAGATAGGGGCGGGCAACAACTAGTACGAAAATAAAATACAAAAATTAAATGAAGTTTAAGATTTTTGAAATGTTTGAGTTACTAACAGTTTTCAGGACATCCTTGTAATATGTAATATAATATATTATGTATTATGTAGTTGTTGCACATGACCAGATTCTTGAATAATATTTCTTGGTGATTGATCATGTTATTACTGATTTCAGGGTCTTTCTTACGATGAAATAACACAAATTAGGAAGAAAAATTTGAATCCAGCTTTGACGACATACTACAGTAAACCCCTGGCTTTGCATCAGGGGTATAAACAATGGCTGTTTGACATACATGGTAGAAGATACTTGGACATGTTTGCCGGTGTGTGTACAGTATCAGTTGGGCATTGCCATCCGTAAGCAAAAATTCACCAACATTTACTTATCTAATGTAATTTATGCACTCCCTTAAAAAAACCGTCTTATGAATATTCATTTTTCTGTTCACTAATCTAACGACGACCTTTGAAGTTGAGCATAGAAATACTCCATTAGTGTAGTATGTGTGCTTGTGCGAGACAGCAGCAAGACGTATGACGATACTGTCTGTTAACTCATTGCATGGAATTATGTTCATTTATGTTACGAAATCAAAGAAATATGCTGCGCTGCTGTGAGGAGGATATAAACAAATATGATTGCCGTCTTTTGTCATATACGAGTATTCGCGCAAGTAAAAGCACGTTATAGTCATTATTATATAATTTTATTTCTGCGGTCCATAGGCCCCGTTTCTCTTAATTCAGTCTTGTGGCTGCCGAGGAAGTTCTTCTTTCTCCGTGGTTACTAGTGTCTACAACCACGACCTTATAGATCTGGGAATGCACACCTCTTCTTGATTGTCATATGTGGTTTAGTCTTCTCGTCTTCTCTTTCATTTTGGTGAATTTTATTGTCAATGGAATTAGCGATCTATGCCTCCTTCAAGGCTATAGCAATCTATGTGTACGCGATCTGTCCACCTTTCCAAATTAATGTTATTTCTTCTGCTTCGCTCTGATATAGCATCCACTTCTTCTACTTGGTCTGAAGTCCGCACTTCATCTCGAGTTTCCTTGATCACCTTCCATTATTGTACACTTTCGACCAATTACGTTTAATTATTGGACGAACCGTTTCTTTTATTACTCCTGTTTCTCCTGGGCAATTTTTGTTTTTTTCTGTTGTTCTGAAACATCTTGGGCTTCTTTTTTTCTCCTTCTCATACATTCATGTTACTTTCAAAGGCGTTTCATCGTGGTTATGAAGTAACTGCATGAAAATATATTCAAATAACGATTTGGAATAAAAATTTTTGGCTTTCCAAACAAAAAAAAAGTAAGAAAGAAATTGACTCAAAACAAACTATTTGCAGTTTTATGACAATACCCTTTTATATATTACATTTTGTAGCGTTTTCATGAATGATATCTGTTTCAATTCCATATCGAAGGTTTAGAGCAGAAACTGTGTAATTCACTGTTCCTATGAAATTAGTTCTTTGAACTTGAAAAGAACTTCTGTGCAAGATCTATACATTTCTGAAAATCTTTTATTTTGAAATTAAGTTCTTTCTTCCTTTATTTGTAAATTTCCAACATTTTTTGTTTGGAGTTGGAGAAGTAGGAAGTCAAAACGCCAATAACTTATCCCTCCATGAATATGCCCTTTTTCAATGTATTCAAATAAATATTTTACCACAAGGTGTAGGTAGGTATCTAACATTTCTTGACGAAATATTAGTCAAGAATTGATTACCTGTAGGTGTATAAATTTCAAGAAATCTGTTTAAAATCTGTTTTTCCGTTAACCAGCTGTCGCATCCCTACGAACGACAACCCTCAGAAGTCGAAACTTGTGCAAGCTAAGGATTAACGAGGTCTTACCTGACCAGAAATTACAATTTTTGAGAATAACATTAATTAGGATAAATTTAATTGAAAGACAAAACGGAAGTGATTATTGAAATTTGCTATTTTGTATTTCAGAAGAATTACTAAAGCAGTAACTGAACAAATGGAGATATTAGGACATTCAACAAATATTTATTATCATACAAAAGTGCACGAATACGCAAAGAAGTTGGCAGACAGTTTACCTGGAGATTTGAAGGTGAGGGATATATTGAAAATATTTCTTTTTATTGAATTTTGAAAATGTAATACCGTTTGAATTAAATCTAGGAAACCACGTCTTAATACGCTATATAATTGGAAGTGTAACATTCATTGTCTGTTTGCAAAAGCTTTTCTTCGAATTACTGGAAACAAATATGAGTCTTGAAACTAGTTACTTTTGTAAAGGAACTTGAAAGATTCAGAAAATAAGTGAAATAATTACTATTTTTTTCAATTTGAAAAAGTTTCTTTCACATTCAATTATAAATTGTTATTTTTTTAATATTACAGTGCATTTACTTCGTAAATAGTGGATCAGAGGCGAATGATCTTGCGCTGTTGATGGCCAGGTCGTATACAGGGCGAAGCGATGTTGTGTCATTGAAAAATTGCTACCATGGAATGACTTACCAGACAATGGGATTGACATGTAACAATTATTATAAATATCCTGTTCCTGGGGCAGCAGGAATGTTCAAAGTAAGGCTCGAAGCATTACACAGGATATCTGCAGATTAACTAAAAGGATAGATCATAAAAACTTTTACTGACGAATATTGAAGTACACTGAATCTCACAACATTTTGTTGTGAGATTTTCACTGAATAGTTTCAAAAAAATTCAACACGTGTTTCACTATAAAATAGCTTCTTCAGGCGCCTCTATACTGAGTATATGCCCGCCTATACTGAGCTTTGACACGCCTATACTGAGTAAAGACACGCCCATACTGAGTTAAGACACGCCTATTGTAGTGAGTATACACACTCCTGAAGAAGCTATTGTATAGCGGAACACGTGTTGTGTTTTTGTAAAACTGTGTAGTGAAAATCTCACAATGAGTCGAATGAATCTCCTGTGATATGAATTTGAACGTTGTCCTTTTGCGTGATTTTGGTATATAGAAAGAACAATTTTTTTAAATTAAATCAAACTGCGTATCTTGAGAAACTCAGCGACTTTCATATAATTCAATTACATGAATGTAGTTGTTTTGAAAAAGCATTTTATTCCAGTTTGTATCCGAGAGTATCTTGTATTGATGATCTACACATCCCGGTAAAGATTTCTTTGAAATTAATGGCTTTTTCACTTCCTTTGCAAGTTTATCCCATTTTTTGTTTAAGATGGATATGTAGAAAACCAAAACCGTTCTTTGCCACTGAATTTAGTTTTTTGTATCAATTGGTACACAACAAAGTTACATTTATTCATGAAGAATAAACGGCATCAGATTGAAACCGAATTTTTAACGAATTGAAATGAAATGATGTAGTTGAATGAGTCTCCTTTGTTAAATTTATTTCTTAACGACTAAATTGGTAAGGAAGTAAGAAATGATATATGTAAATTTTGTAATCAGAAATGATGTTTATTCTCAGACTCACAACCCAGACATATACAACGGCATTTGGGGTGGAAACAAATGCCGTGACAGTCCCATTCAGACAGACAGACCGTGCTCTTGTTCGGGAGCCTGTGAAGCTGGTTTAAAGTACGTCGATCAGTTTGTAGAAGAATTGAATTTCAACATTCCTAAAAACGGCCTAGCGGCATTCTGGGCCGAGTCTATTCAAGGGGTAGGAGGAGCCGTGCAATATCCCAAAAATTACATCAAAAGTGTATATGATATTGTGAAGAAACATGGTGGTCTATTTGTTTCAGATGAGGTGAGCAATGACAATTGAAAAGTTCAGTTAAAACAATTTTGGTAACTTTTTATTAGGTTCAAACTGGTTTTGGCAGAACTGGTGACCATTTCTGGGGTTTTGAGTCTCATGGAATCGTCCCTGATATAGTTACGATGGCAAAAGGTATTGGAAATGGATATCCGCTAGCGGCTGTGGTAACTACTGAAGCTATCGCAAGTGGTTTATCTAAAGCTGGACATTTCAATACGTATGGCGGAAATCCTGTTGCTTGCACCATAGGGTTGACAGTTCTAGATGTAAGTTACCTACATACAAACATTTGGTTATTCTTTTTCAGATCAGTGGGTCCATAAACCAGCTTAGGAATATCTTCCATTTCAGTTGGAAAAATCTGTAATAGTTCATGTCAGTTTTCATAACTTACATTTTTGAACACTTGAGACAATGAAAGATTACTTACACATGCGCATGAATGAAATAAGTGGAGAAATACAGTTACCAGACTGAGTCATGGCCGGTGGGAGAAATCGTACAAACATACTTATTATGGAGTTATTACCAATGTTATTACCAATGTTACGACTATGCGTATGTACTAAGTAGTAAGGGAGACGCTCATTCATATTCGATAATTTCTGAAACACACAATTTACAACTACACTTCAATTTTAATTTGTGATTATCGTACTTATTTGTTCTATTTCGTGAAATGATTGAAATTGTCTTATAGTTTGACACTGTCTCTTTCCTATATATACCACATTCGAACATTCTTGTGTATTCATCATCGCCAATTTGACGTAATGCATGCTAAATTGTCTGACTTGTGCCAGAGACGGTTCGTTCGCTCGCTTTTTTAGCTTCGCTATGTGTTTATTAATATTTTTGGAGGTAAACGGGAGTTATCAATATGTATTCAGGTTGAAAATAATTCAGTCAATCTTTAGGTTAAGTTAGGTTAGGTCAGAAGTGAGTGGGTCTATTCGTCCCTCCACCGCAACCCCTAAGGATGTATTGTGGCTCACACCAATTCACACTCGACCAAATAAACCCAGCTTCTTAACGAAGCCGATTAGTTTGTATTGAGTGGTCTTTCAGGTTAGATGGTAAGAGGACGGATCTGTCAAACTCTTGAAAATCTGATCCGGTCCCCAGCGGGGCAAGCGCAAAGTATGTGCTCTGCGGTTTCATAATTTTCCAAAAAGAGGCGACACACATTGTCTTCCGACAGTCCGAGTCTCTGCATATGATGATTCAAATGACAGAGACCTATAAGAAGGCCTATTAGACATCGTAGTTCATTCCTACTGTAGTCCAACAACTGTTTGGTATCAAGCTTCGAAGGGTGAATAAACGCCTTGGAGTGAGCCAATCCTGGAAGAATTCCATAAATCTTCTTGCCATCCAGATGTTCAATGTTTATTTGGGAAAGCCTAAAGCTGCTAATGTCAGGTTCTGGTCCAATGAAGCTGATTGCAGCACACTTCTTTACAAGGGAGTTAGAAGCGTCATTGCCTTCCAGGCCAGTTTGGCCAGGAATCCAGACCAGAGACCATTTGTTTAGTCTTCCTATCGAGGAGAGTTGTTTTTGGCAGTATGCTACTAATTTAGACCTTGCTCGGTAGAAGCGGAGTTTCCAAGGTCGCTTGACTGTTACTGAATATTTTTATTCACTTGTATATGAGTCACATCTTTAAGGTTACTATTTATTTCTTGATTTTGAATCACGAGAGATTTTTAATCACAACTGAATAAAAATATGGAAGCAGAATAGTATTTGAGAAACTGCTCACTGGAACAAAAAAATGTACAGCAGACGAACTAGTGGAAATTGTATTTCAGATCATTCAAGAAGAGCAACTGCAGAAGAACTGTAAAGACGTTGGAACTTATATGCTACTAGCTTTAGCCAAGTTGAAATCTGAGTACTCGATCATTGGAGATGTGCGTGGTAAAGGTTTGATGATTGGAGTAGAATTGGTTCAGGACCGCGAAACAAGGAAACCTCTGAAAGCTTCAGATTTTATGAAGATCTGGGAACACACAAGAGATCTCGGGCTGATCATTGGCAAAGGTGGACTTCATGGAAATGTTTGTATAGAAATAAGACATTCTTGTTACTGTTGTTGTTATATTTTCATTGCAGGTCATCAGAATCAAACCTCCAATGTGTGTTACTAAAGAAGATGTGGATTTTACTTTAGAAGTTCTAGCAAGTGCTTTCGATTCGGTGAAATGAAGGACTTCTCATTGTATTGATCCAATATGAATATTTGAAACACATACTAGGTTAATATTAGGAAAGTTCGTCTCTCAATTGAAAATTGTTACTTCGATTTGTTAAATTTATTTAGAGTCCAAATAATGAAATTGAATCTGTAGGAGAGTGGATGGTATCTTCTCTTACCAGACACTATTTTTAGCGCGATACAAAAACTCAGTCATTGATCACCAGATAAACCAGCGTCTCTTGAAGTAATGGTAGGGGGAATTTTCAAAATGTCAACAATTTTGTGAACTATCTTTATGATGTCATTGGAAGAAAAATTACGTATTTACATTATACTTTGTAAGAATCTCACAGATTGATTTACAAAACCGCCACACGTGTCTCGCTATAAATAGCTTCTTTAGTGTTTTCATACGTATGTTCATATCCTCTGCTCATATCTCAACTGAGTTTTGAATGTTAGGAGAACACAAAAAAGTCTCTTGTAACGGTAATCACTTCAGAGAGATACGTTTAGTTTTTATTATGAACTCTTCTAACTTTAACCCACTTACATTTTAAAGAAAAGAGAAGCAACTGGCTTCATCTATTGATTTCATTGTTAATATGACATATAATTACTGAATATAGAATATAAATAAGAATGGTCTTTAACTTTCATGTAATGCCTGAAAGAAATACTCACTTATTTTACCAATAAGTTTAATTATGAGAATGAGTTGATACACATGAAGATAAATAAGAAAAAAATGAACCCAAAAGCAAGCGCTTTTCCCCATCACCAGAACTTCACCAATTATCTCCTGAAGTAGTTGGTAGGTGAAATATGCGTTGAGAAGGATATTAAAGATCTGGTGATTGGAAAAAGTGCTTGTCTTTGGAGTCATTCTACTCTAGAGGTTCCAGTTATACTTTTTATTGAAGAAAATTATAAATAAGTTTTGCACTCTCCCTGATTATGTACACACCACAATGGAGTCACTGGTCCTGCGTTTATTCCTCTTTTGACTAATCTTGCTACGTGAGCGAAAAACCTAGTTTCAGCATACTGCGCTGAGCTTCTTGGATTGGTCCAAAGACGTTCTGCAGCTGCAGCTGCTCTGGGCCATGTCCTTGATTGTACGTTGGAGTCATCTACTAGTTCTCCCCACATACAAACCTGAAATATATAAAACAATTTTTTTAGATGGTATTCAGATCCATGAGATGAACACATTGTTATACCAGTGGCGTCATTAGGGTGTTCTTTTTAACCAAAATATTGATTTTCACGTTTAGTGTACTTCAATTATGATGATAAAACATATTTGTGTAGTAAAACAAATACCAAAGTAAATCACTTCAGAGATGCTATTCAGTTCACAGAAGAGAACATAAGCCTCTCCACTCACAAAATATTTTGGTGAAATGGGACCCACGCGTGAATCATTATATTCTTGCCAAGTGTTGGTATACGTATGTCAACACTATGCTGAATAATGTCAACTGTAAGTATTCCTACTGCGTGATTCGATAATGTATATATATAACGACAAGTGACAACATTGTCCACAGAAAAAATACTCATTGGGAAAAGTCGATAGAAACTTAAATTTTTTCTCTGAAATTTTCTGTTGGCGATAATCTCTTCAAATGTATCACTTACGTCTCCATTTAGAATTTCTCTTTTTTGGTAAAGGACTCCATCCATTGTGATAAACTTACTCGGCCATTGATTCGTGGAAAAAAATTTCAAGATAGATTTTAGAAGACCGACGAAACCGTCCACAATCTTGGAGTTGCTTATCTTCAAATATTCCAACCAGGTTTGTTTGAAGGTGATTGACCAGGATTCCTAAGAGGTTTTCGCTGTCCACTAACTTGACCTCAATTTTCGGCAAGATTGGTTTAGGATTCCTAGTGATTCTATTTATGTCTTGGTGTGAACTTCCAAAAAAAATTGGAGGAACTCCTGGGCGTTTTTCTGCGCGTAACATATATTGCAAAACATTGTGCAAGTGTTTACCATTTCAAGTCATCAAATTTTGAAATATTATCAAATATTTTTTTGTTTTGTTCAATGATGAAGAAGTAGAAAGTCAAAAGCTTTTTTCCCCAAAACTAATTTCTCCTAAATATATTCCCCTTTTCAATTACTGAAAGGATACTACTGAAAATCAGTTTCAAGCTTTTATGCTTTACGAAAATTTCTGCCCTTGCATTTATTGATTATGAACTAGTTTTTGAATAAATCAATCATTCTGGCTTTTCATGGCCATAGTCACGATTGATGAAAACAAATTGGAACCTGAAGTATTTCAGAGATAAACTCGCCCATTCGACCACTGACTTCAGATAGATGGAAAAAGAAAATAGAAATATGATGAAAATTACGGCTGTAGTTATTCTTCTTTGTTCCTATACTTGTACATCCCATGATAATTCTAAACAGAATAATAAGATAGAGAGTGAATCAGAAAACTGGTTCGGAAACGGAATATAACGTGAATATTGAATAACTGAAGAAAAAACGTTATGAAAGTGCTGATAAGTAGAATTTGAAACCTCTAGATCGAAATTAATCTATTGAAAACACTCAATCATCTCCTGATGATGCTAACTTGGATAGCGAAAAGCGTGTCGAGAGACATGCGTGTCCTCGTGAGGATAAAGTGTTTTCAATAAATGAAAAAGTTGATTGGAGAATTGATGACAGAATAAGTATATTGGCTGAGAAAAAACTATACAATAAGTGAATATATTTTTTGAATATACCGTAATGTACAATGTATGACAATGTACGACAGTTATTCAAAACAAAACACTGCTCCCACACACCAGAACTGCAACACCTTTATAGTATTCTAGTATAGCCAACCACGTGTGTGCGTGTGCATGTATATGTGTGTGCGGCGTTTATTTTGGAATTATTCTACGTCAGAGGTTCCAGTTTTTCGAAAAAATGGTATACTGAGTTGTCTTTTGTTATTATTTTTTACTTACTTCTCCACCTAACACCGCTTCATGGGAATAATCGTATACTTTATTTTCGTACACTTTCTTCCAGTTATAGTATTGAGTGGTACCCCAAAATCCATGATCTAAGTACCAGGCATCTTTTGTCGATACAATCACTCTATATCCCAATTTCAGTAAGTCCCCTATCAGAGCGTCTTGTTTTGTTGGTACCCACGTTTGAATGATGTATCTGCAAATTTTAAATACTCGTGAAACCACTTTAGGTTGAAGTATTCAGATGATTATATTTACAAGTGAAATACACATTGTTACCCTACTGGCAGAAAATAAAAACTTGATTCCACCTCCAGAATGAGTCTCTTTCTCTTGAAGATGATCACTTGTTGATCGAAACACGGTCGAGGTGTTAAAAATAACGGTTGGGGTGATTTTTTATGAACTGCAATGGTAACAATGATTTCAAAGATAGAAAGGCATTCTGACGTCTTTCAATACCGTCTTAGTTTCATTTTTCTAGCCTTATCAGTAAGTGAAATATCTGAAACACCCTGTATATTTATATAGAAAATTGATATGATTTTGATGTTCATTTCGCTACTATGTATTTTCAATAATTAATTCATTTATTCATTTATGCCACCCCTCATACATACCTTTCTTTTGGTAAATATTTCTTGATCACGTCAGGTTGCGTCAACTGACTTGTCCAAAGAACTATTGAAGAATGTTGATGACCAATTGCGCTATCGAAGGACTGCAATGCTTTCTTTTGATGTTCTGCCCATAAATCGTAAAATGTCTCGGTAGTTAAGGGTTTGTCTTTCAAATAATCGCGTATTTCCTGCGTTGAATTCCAACACGGAATGAAAACCTGGAACATTTGAAAATATATAACAAGATAAAGTCTGGATAGATGGAGACAAATTATACTCGAAGATACTTTCTTTCGAAAGAAAAATTTAAAAGGATCTGTTGTGGGCAACAATTTTGACTATTAGTGGTTTGTGCGGTAATAATTCTATAAGTGGGGACATTCCCAAAATGAAGAGTCAGGTGATTTTATAATTATATTCATGAACTGGGTTCGCAATGCAATATTTCAAATCATAGAGCTTTAGTCTTATATGAGAATTTCAAGTTCACAAATCCATTTTTTTCTGATCATTGCTCCATACATAATTTCCATGATTTTGCTGATAAACAATTCAAGTTGAGGGTGTCGAATATCAAACCATTCATATCAGCAATCTATTAGTATAACTTACCCCTTTGATGTCGTACACCTGAAGAATCTTGATTACAAGAAAAAAATTTGATTGTGATGTTATGTGCGTTTGCTGTGAGGACGTTTGCTTTTCCTGACGAATATTAAAGTACACTAATCTCACAACATTTTGTTGTGAGATTTTCACTGAATAGTTTCAAAAAAATTCAACACGTGTTTCACTATACAATAGCTTCTTCAGGCGCCTCTATACTGAGTATATGCCCGCCTATACTGAGCATAGACACGCCTATACCGAGTAAAGACATGCCCATACTGAGTTAAGACACGTCTATTGTAGTGAGTATACACACTCCTGAAGAAGGTATTGTATAGCGAAACACGTTTTGCGTTTTTGTAAAACTGTGTAGTGAAAATCTCGCAATGTGAGTCGAATGAATCTCCTGCTGTGTTATGAATTTGAACGTTGTCATTTTGCGTGATTGTGGTAAATAGAAAGAACAATTTTTTTAAATTAAATCAAACTGCGTATCTTGAGAAACTCAGCGACTTTCATATAATTCAATTACATGAATGTAGTTGTTTTGAAAAAGCATTTTATTCCAGTTTGTATCCGAGAGTATCTTGTATGGATGATCTACACATCCCGGTAAAGATTTCTTTGAAATTAATGGCTTTTTCACTTCCTTTGCAAGTTTATCACATTTTTTGTATAAGATGGATATGTAGAAAACCAAAACCGTTCTTTGCCACTGAATTTAGTTTTTTGTATCAATTGGTACACAACAAAGTTACATTTATTCATGAAGAATAAACGGCATCAGATTGAAACCGAATTTTTAACGAATTGAAATGAAATGATGTAGTTGAATGAGTCTCCTTTGTTAAATTTATTTCTTAACGACTAAATTGGTAAGGAAGTAAGAAATGATATATGTAAATTTTGTAATCAGAAGTGATGTTTATTCTCAGACTCACAACCCAGACATATACAACGGCATTTGGGGTGGAAACAAATGCCGTGACAGTCCCATTCAGACAGACAGACCGTAATTATACTCGAAGATACTTTCTTTCGAAAGAAAAATTTAAAAGGATCTGTTGTGGGCAACAATTTTGACTATTAGTGGTTTGTGCGGTAATAATTCTATAAGTGGGGACATTCCCAAAATGAAGAGTCAGGTGATTTTATAATTATATTCATGAACTGGGTTCGCAATGCAATATTTCAAATCATAGAGCTTTAGTCTTATATGAGAATTTCAAGTTCACAAATCCATATTTTCCTGATCATTGCTCCATACATAATTTCCATGATTTTGCTGATAAACAATTCAAGTTGAGGGTGTCGAATAACAAACCATTCATATCAGCAATCTATTAGTTTAACTTACCCCTTTGATGTCGTACACCTGAAGAATCTTGATTACAAGAAAAAAATATGATTGTGATGTTATGTGCGTTTGCTGTGAGGACGAATGTTAAATCTCGAAGTATAAGTAACGAAAGAACGTTATATCTCGAAGTCTCAGTAACGAATGAACGTTATATCACGAAGTCTCAGTAACGAACAAACATATTTCGTCTCAGTAACAAACGATCATTACATCTGGAAGTCTCGGTAACGATTGAATGTTATATTCCGAACTCTCAATAACGAACGATTATTATATCTCCAAGTTACATCTCGAAGTTTCAATAATGAACGAATATTATATCTCGAAGTCTCAGTAACGAACAAACTTTACATCTCGAAGTCTCAGTAACGAACGAACGTTATATCACGAAATTTCAGTAACGAACGAACGTTATATCTCGAAGTCTCAGTAACGAACGAACGTTATATCTGGAAGTCTCGGTAAATATTGAACGTTATTTTTCGAATTCTCAATAACGAACGATTGTTATATCTCCAAGTTTCAGTAATGAACGAACGTTATATCTCGAAGTCTCAGTAACAAATGATCATTATATCTGGAAGTCTCGGTAACGATTGAACGTTATATCTCAAATTCTCAATGAGAACAATTGTTATTTCTCCCAATCTCAGTAACGAACGAATGTTACATTTCGAAGTCTCGATAACGAACGATCGTTATGTCTCGAAGTCTTAGTAACGAACGAACGTTATATCTGGAAGTCTCGGTAAATATTGAACGTTATTTTTCTAATTCTCAATAACGAACGATCGTTATATCTCCAAGTTACAGTAATGAACGAACGTTATATCTTGAAGTCTCGGGAACGTTATGCCTCAAAGTCTCAATAACGAACGAATGTTATATCTCGAAAGAACGAAAGAACGTTATATCTCGAAGTCTCAGTAACAAACGATCATTATATCTGGAAGTCTTGGTAACGATTGAACGTTATATCTCAAATTCTTAATAACGAACAATTGTTATTTCTCCAAGTCTCAGTAACGAACGAACGTTACATCTCGAAGTCTCGATAACCAACGAACGTTATGTTTCAAAGTGTCAATAACGAACGAATGTTATATTTCGAGAGAACGTTCTCGCAGTAAACGCATATGTCACTGATGATTTCTGCCGCAGTAGCAGACGAAACGTTCAACATTAAAACAGAAAAAAAATAATATTCTGAAACGACTACTCTTCCTTACGAATATTGAAATGAAAATTTACACATTTGAATCTGGCAAATACTTACCAGAAAACAACTACTTTTTTGGCTAATGATAATCGATAACAGTGTATTGATATCCATATAACAATACATATACATATAAGAACCACAAAAAGTTGGATTGGAAATATAGTCACAGATCATGCAGAAAATTGAGGAACAAAGGTTCTAGACTTGAACATTTCACAATGCAGACACATTATGTGACATATAAAAATGAGAAGGAATAAGATTACATTAAAGAAAAATTAATAGTGACAAAACGTTTGAATATAGTACCAAACCCAATGAACAAAGTTGGAATAAAGTATATGACTTGAACCTTGAACTGACCAGGGGTTAGTGAATGATGAACACTTTTATGAAATACAAGTATTTCATCTCGTTATTTGATAAAAGTCTACTTCCACTTCATCGAATGGATTTGATGCAAATGGGCTCTGTCAACTAACGAAAAGATCATTATGTTTATTCACCTATGAATTTGAATGTGCCAGAATATTCTATCTGCTTCAGCTTGTCTACATGAACCGGCTTATGTTCATGTGTCTCATTCAACGTAATTAAGATCAGCAGTTGAAAGTTGAATAACTTACCTCATCACCGCCCATATGGAACATACCAGTGTTTGGTAGCATCTCAACAATGTCAGTGAACAAATCATTCATCACTCGATAAAGATTGGAGTTTGCTGGATTCAGTTGGCCACACGGTGGTTGGATACAGAAAGATCTCCATGGTTGCTTATTGACACAGACAGCCAGATCTCCAAGTCCAGCTTCCGAACCCCATTGCCACCCTACGCCAGCATGAGATGGACCGTCTATTTCCAATAAGATTCTGACACCTCGCACTAATGCGTATTTCACCAACATTTGGATATCCTCCGGTTTGTAGATCTGCTTGGGACCGTAAGCACCATACCTTCAGAAATGTGGCGTTAGTTTCTAGAGTATTTGGTTTTAGATCTTCCTATTGCTTAAATAAAAACTACTACTACATATACACATAGACATATCGGGAACGTCTCTCAATTGAGGTGGATGTATCATTTATACTGTAGTCGAATACCACTCAGATATCCACGAAACGAAAAATCTGATGAAGCCAATCTGGAAAGGTGGAAAACAGAAAGAGCTCATCGATTGGCCGAAGTATTGAGAACAAGTCAGGGCGCGAGTATTAGAAATGAGCCAGCAAGGCTAAACATCCCACCATAAAAGCTTTGAAATACTCAAGGATGCATACCGTATGGCAAATATCACGAGTAGAGCACCGGATAGGCCAATCCCATACTGGTGGAACGTAGACATCGTAGAACAGAGAAGGCGCTGTAATATCGCCCGGAGAATATACACAAGGTCTGCCAAACAGGGACGGGACCCCGCCAGGCTGGGAGAGGTACAAGAACAATACCGGCAAGCCAGGCGAGAGCTCAAAAGTAGGCAGAGAGAAGTGGTGTGTATTGGTGACATTGGACGTGGAGAATGCTTTCAACTCTGCGGACTGGGGGCTCATTATAGAGAAGGTCAACAGCATGGGCGTTTCTGGATACCTGGTCAACATATTGAAATCCTACCTGCGAAACAGAACGATAAAGGTAGAGCGAGACAAACCCAGAGAAGTCCACGTAGGAGTCCCACAGGGGTCGGTCCTAGGGCGGCTCCTGTGGAATATTCTGTATGATAGGGTGCTTAGACTAAACCTTCCTGAAGGTGCCAAGACCATCGGCTTTGCTGATGATCTCGCCCTTATAACTAAGGGAAAAGACGGACAAGACCTCATTAGGAAAACGGAACGGAGCCTACGAGAAATTGAGAGCTTCATCGCTACCCACAAGCTCAGATTAGCGCTGGAAAAGAGCGAGGCCATGATACTGAAGGGAAAGAGGAAGCGGGATGGCATAACCTTTCGGCTTGGACAAACCGAAATAATCCCCAAAAAAACCCTTAAATACCTGGGGATAATTATCGACAGTGGCATACGCTATGGACCTCATGTAATAGCAGCGGCCAAAAAAGCTGAAACTAGAGCGGCATGCCTAGCAAGACTGATGCCTAACATTAGGGGACCTGATAGCAGCAAGAGGGCGGTGCTAGGAGGAGTGGTACAGTCCATCCTACTGTATGGAGCTCCGATTTGGTACCCAGCCATGAGGATGGAGAAGTACAGGCAAATTCTGATTAAGACCCAAAGAAAGAGCCTAGTACGGATCATATCTGCGTACAGAACAGTGTCTGCAGAAGCGGCACAGGTCGTAGCAGGCATGATCCCTATAGACCTTCTTGCTGCGGAAAGGAAATACACCCACGAGAGGAGTGGAGATGAGGCGTTGGCGGCACGAAGGAGAAGGGCTAGGGAAATAACTGTGGACAGATGGCAGGAGAGGTGGGACAATAACCAGGAAAAGGCCCAGTGGACAAAGAAACTTAAACCATCGATGAAAGACTGGATGGTCCTCAAAGACAGGAAAACAAATTATTTCGCAACACAGCTCCTGACAGGCCATGGCTCCTTCGGCAGCTACACGCATCGAATCAGAAAGACTCCTGGCGAAGAGTGTGCCTACTGTCGAAATGAGAGAGACGATGCTGAACATACGTTGTTTCTGTGCCCGAGATGGACAGTAGAGAGGCAGACCCTTCAGGCTGGCATCGGAGAGCCACTTGTTATTGGAAACTTTGTGGTAACAAGAAACAATAATTGGAGAGAGTTTCGGAAATATGCCAATACCGTAATGGCCATAAAAGAGCGAGAAGAGCGCGAGCGACAACAGCAGCAAGAGTAAGATGGAGAGGCAGGCGATATAGAGATGCCAGATCCATCTGACGAATGTCCGAATGGACGGTACCGGATGGATCACTCGTGGCGAAGAGGGGGGAGTTTTACTGGCTAACGAAGCACCAGTCACTCGTGGAGTCGGTCCCGTGTGTTCGAAGGTCTTCTCCCCCTTAAAAAAAAAAAGATATCCACCTCTTAAGAGTGGCTAAGATGGGTGCCGGAAATATCAATACTGGATGAAAGATGAGAGAATATTCTCGTCAGATACGAGTGTAGAGACGATTTAGCAATAAGGTACGTTCGAGTCTAGAAGAAGTGGCACAGTGAGTTGGCAGTACTTAGATACAATTTTTCAACTTATCGGTTTTGTATAAAGATGGAGAAGTAGAAAGCCAAAACTTTTCTTTCCCAAATCTTCTTTCTTTTTCCTAAAAATATACCCCTTCCAATTTAAACTAAATGAAAAATCATTTTGTATTTTCAAAAATGAAAAGCTCTGAAGCAAGAAAACAGATCTCTGCTACGCCAGCAACGCAAAGTACGAAAATCGCATTTAGAAAATGCCAAAATTAGATACTTTTTAGGTATCGAAGTCAAAAATTAGGTGCTCTGTAACTTACACCGCAACTCAATACTCAAAGTTGCGTTGCTAGCATTATGTGATGCTAGCAACGCAATGAAAATAATAATAAAATAATGAATGTTAAGGGAACACTATTAGGTGCTAATTAAGTGCTAAACGGTGAGTTTCGTAAAATTTTCTAAATAATAAACGAAAGCTTCCAATTTCACTAAACAACAGATCAAGGAATCAGGTTTCTCGAAAAGGAGAACGAATGCTCTATCAGGTATAAACTAAGCGTGGTATAAAGTGTTCACTCAGTCAATCGGCCGATGTGTGAGTCGATGGTTCAAGCCCCAGGCTGAACGGTCAATTTTCACTTGCTATAGGAAGCACACGTTAAAAGATAAGACCTCGTTAGTTCTTAGCTCGCACAAGTTTCGAATTCTGAGGGTTATCGTTCGTAGGGGTGCGATAGCTGGTTAACGAAAAAACATATTTTAAACATTTTTTTAATGGTCGTTATCGGGTCCATAAGCCCCATATGAATTATGGAATCTAGATTTACTATAAATATCTAATGAGCACCTAATTAGCACTTTATTCTCATACCCTTACTTATCAAGGAACGTACTGTAAGAACTCAGTCCATCAGTCATAGGGGTTTTCCATAATGCCCCATAGGCATTATGGAATCTAGGTTTACTATTATTTATCTAGTGAGCACCTAATTAGCACTTTCATTTCTTGCCCTTATTCATCAAATAACGTACTATAAAAACATAGTACATCAGTCATGGTAGTTTTCAGGTCCATGAGCCCCATAGGCATTAAAGAATCTAGTTTTACTATGAATATCTAGTGAGCACTGAATTAGCACTTTATTTTGTTTGTCTATGTATTAGTTTACGAGTATCTCAAGACTTTATTACATATTGTTAATATTTTTTCAAATCAGGGTTCTCGAATTTTTTTTCTACTTATTTGCGGTCGTTTTCATCTTAATTTCTTGCAAGCACCTAATTAGTACTTTATTACCACGCTTACCTGATAAAGCATTCGTCCTCGTTTTCGAAAGACCTGATGAAGTTTTTGTTTATTAATTAGAAAAGTTTACGATCCTCACCGTTTAGCACTTAATTAGCACCTAATAGTGTTCCCTTAACATTCATTATTTCATTATTATTTTCATTGGGTTGGTAGCATCACATAATGCTAGGAACGCAACTTTGAGTATTGAGTTGCGGTGTAAGTTACAGAGCACCTAATTTTTGACTTCGGTACCTAAAAAGCACCTAAAAAGTACCTAATTTTGTAATTTTGCGTAACAGAGCTAGAAAACAGAAGTCGACAATTTATATAAATTTTGAAAACGACTGAAGCAACTATTTTGTAATTTAACTGAAATTCTAATTTTGAGAGTTCTCGAGATATTATGGGTGGCTTTCTTGAAAAATGCTATCGTATTTCTATAAAATTACTCCACAAACCATTTCACCAGATCAGAAAAAATGGTAGCTATTTGATTTGACAGCTTATTCTGAAGCATTTTGGCTTATATATGACTAATGCATCTGGATAATCAACAATTTCTGACTTTTTACAGTTATCTCAAATATTTGGCAAGTAGGTAATTTGAAATCAAAAACCGGGAGACTCACTCAGTCATATTTGGTAACCTCTGCGACATCAAAGGAAAGCTCTGGGAATCGGTGATATGCCAATGAAGAACGTTCATTTTGGAGGCAGCCATACCGTCGATATTAATCTTGATGGTGTCAAGGGAGAGAAAGTTTCTTGCTGTATCCAAAAGAAGACCACGATGTTTGTACTTGGGAGTGTCACTGATTTGGATATTACTGAGTGTAGCCAGACATTTCTCTTCATATCCGTCTGGCACAACAAGCTGCAGAAGTGTTTCTAATCCATGCCTCAAACCAAATACTGTTGGAGCAGTTATATTGACTTCGAGTTCATCACCTGGAAATGGAAAAAAAGGTAATTCAGAATCATTTTGGCTTATACATTCCTCAAAATAATTGAAGCATACTTTCTTTATGAGTAAAAAACCGAAAAAACTTACTATATATTATATTATTTTGAAAGAAAATGCAAGTGGCTCCCAAATCCATGCTGAATTATCGAATAATTTTCCGTTGTGTATTGAGTATGGGTACGTGATAAGATTGAAGAACTATCAAGATCAAAATGAAAACTCTGTAATTATTGAAATCGAAAGTAAACAATAAGTTTCTTTTGTGTCACAATTAATGGCTCAGTATCTTGCGTTTCCTCCTCGGACAGAAATCACAGCTCGGATTCGCCGGGGCATGGTTCTTATGAGACTCCTGAGGTTTTCTTCAGGAAAACGCTCCCACTCTTATCGAAAAGAAATTTCCAACTCATCCGAAGTGGGGAGTTGGTTTTGACGGCTTCGGATGCTTCTTCCCAATTGATCCCATTAATGTTCGATGGGATTTAGGTCTTGGCTGTAAGCGGACCACCCCAAAGTAGTGATATTGTGGGCTTGTAAGTACTGACGCATGATCCCTGCCGCGTGGGGACGGGACCTATCGTGCATAACAATGAAATTGTGCGTTCGTGCTTCTGCTCCTGTGACGTATCTGAACTTCCAACGCCTCATTAATGTACCTTTGGGTGGTCAGGGATCCGTTGTGGATGACTACAAGTACAATCATTGAAATGAGACCCTTTAAGATGAGCAGCAGCATTCATTCTTCTACATACTCTGGGCCGATCATCATTCTCAAAAATAGTGAATTTAGACCCATTAGAAAGGTGTACTTTACCTCAATGCCTCAGCTGCCAACGCCTGTATCCAAGCGAACTGCATTCTTTCTCTTTTGTGACGTGCTGCAAGCTGAGATACCTGTTCTGTTCGTTTAGATCTCAATTCACTTTCCCGAAGTCGATTTCGCATATTCTGGTAGGAAATTTGGGTCCTCGATGCTCGATTAAGCTCCCTGGCTATTGAAAATCTGGGTCTTAGGGCACTCAGACGTATAAACCTGTCCTCTTGGGCAGAAGTAGAACTCCGCCGCCCTTGTTGGTAACGGTTTCAAAGTCTTGAAACCACTGTGACAGCCCTTAGTGACATAGAGTGACCTGCCATGGTACGTAAACAGGAGGCACCAAACAGAAAATGTAAGTTCGATTGACAACTGGTTAGTAGTTAGAATCGTCCTCTTTTCCATTTCTGTTTCGATAGGTTTACGAAATGATAACAATTATCTATACTAATCCAAAGCTAAGAGACAAAAACAACCTCTGTTGTTTCTTATCAAAGTTGTGGACTACCAAAGCTCACATTATTATATTTATCATAAAAATTATGCTTGTACACAATCATTACATTACATTACAATCATTAATTGTTTTGAGGAGTGTATATGAGTAGTGAATCTGGATAATCAGTTTCTGATTGGTGAAAATGACCAATTATTGTTAATCAATTGAGGGCTGAAGATGTATCAGAAGTGTACTGTTTGAACTGCGGAAATCTATAGATATTTGGGAGTTAATTTTTACGTAGCATTATTTTTGTTTGGTGTACAAAGGTGTCAAAAAAGTAGGGGAAGTAGTTGTTCTTCTACTGGGTATTTAATTTTTTTACGAATATCTCCTTGAAACAATCCTCAGACTTATTTTGAATTCTGTTAGAGTATTGGTATATGGGATGTTTCTTTTCCGCTTTTTGGACTTTGTTCACAAGATGGATCCGTTACTAGTGAACATTTCTTTCTCCTTGACGAAGATTTTATACATGCAGTCGGGCCGTGTAAATGTCAATCAAGTCCCAGGCACACTTCTGTTTGAGTAGCATCTTTCCTACGAAACAGCTTTGTAGTTGATCTACTTGATTGATTTGAGCGTGCTAGATGAAGGACAAACATCTGCAAAACTAACCTCCGTGAGATTTTTTCATAAATATCTACCGGATTTAATACAAGGAATTTAGAAGAACCTACTTTTTATACGTATGTTTCTCTCCTCGACACAGTCTCCAGGATCATTTTAAATTACATTTATATATTCTTATTGTATACTTACCATTGAAATCCAAGTTCAATTTATATGATTCATCTGTTTCAAGATCTAAGGACAAATCGAAACTAGCGGAATACAAATAAATATGCATATCGAACACCTCTTTATCACAGTCGATGGGTTCCTCTCGTTTCAACTCATCTTTGAAGTAAACCGTCAGTTCTGTTAAGAAGTCGATGCTGTCGATGGTTCCGTTGAAATGGAAAACTATATTCCTGAAAAAAATGATTGTTTTGTATCAAGAGTGTGACGTGACATAATGAAAGCTTAGGAAATGGTGACATATTTGGAGAAGGTATTTTAGGCAAGCTCAGAAAAAAAAAAAGAAACGAACTATCTCGGTATTGGAGAATGCCAAATCGATAGTATTTGGAGACGTTGGCGATCTTTTTGTTGAAGGAGCTTGAACGTCTTGAAACAGGCGATTTTCCACATGTTAGTACTATGATCAAACATCAACCGATTAGTATTGAGTACTTTCCACTTTTTACCTTCAAATTATTCGAAACTATCATTGGTAACCAATTTTATGTGAATACTACGACCGCACGAATGTTCTACATAAATTTGACTATTTGAATAATAACTGCAATAACTTTCAGTTATTAGTCAAATTTGACAGCTCTGTTACGCCAGCAACGCAAAATACGGAAACTGCATTTAGAAAATGCCAAAATTAGGTACTTTTTAGGTGCTTTTTAGGTACCGAAGTCAAAAATTAGGTGTTCTGTAACTTACACCGCAACTCAATACTCAAAGTATACTCAAATAATAAAATAAGGAAACACTATTAGGTGCTAATTAAGTGCTAAATGGTAAGGATCGTAAAATTTTCTAATTAATAAACAAAAGCTTCCAATTTCGCTAAACAACATATCTAAGAATCAGGTCTCTCGAAAACGAGGACGAATGCTCTATCAGGTATAAACTAAGTGTGGTAATAAAGTGCTAATTAGGTGCTTGCAAGAAATTAAGAAGAAAACGACCGCGAATAAGTGAAAAAAAATCGAGCCGGGCGGTTCGACGTGGATGCTTTGTTCACTCAGTCAATCGGCCGATGTGTGAGTCGATGGTTCAAGCCCCAGGCTGAACGCTCAATTTTCACTTGCTATTGTCCAACCCGTGTTAGGAATCACATGTTGAAAGGTAAGACCTCGTTAGTTCTTAGCTCGCACAAGTTTCGATTTCTGAGGGTTATCGTTCGTAGGGGTGCGATAGCTGGTTAACGGAGAAAACATATTTTAAACATTTTTTAATGGTGGTTATCGGGCCCATAAGCCCCATATGAATTAAGGAATCTAGATTTACTAGAGTATCTAATGAGCACCTGATTAACAATTTATTCTCATACCCTTACTTATTGAGGAACGTACTGTAAGAACTCAGTCCATCAGTCATAGTGGTTTTCCATGATGCCCCATAGGCATTATGGCATCTAGGTTTACTATTATTTATCTAGTGAGCACTTATTTAGCACTTTATTTTGATTGTCTATGCATTAGTTTACGAGTATCTGAATACTTTATTTCATATTGTTAAATCTTTTTGCTCAAAACAGGTATCTCGATTTTTTTTTCACTTATTCGAGGTCGTTTTCATGTTAATTTCTTGCAAGCACCTAATTAGCACTTTATTACCACGCTTAGTTTATACCTGATAGAGCATTCGTCCTCGTTTTCGAGAAACTTGATTCTTAGATCTGTTGTTCAGCGGAATTGGAAGCTTTTGTTTATGAATTAGAAAATTTTACTCTCACCGTTTAGCACTTAATTAGCACCTAATAGTGTTCCCTTAACATTCATTATTTTATTATTATTTTCATTGGGTTGGTAGCATCACATAATGCTAGGAACGCAACTTTGAGTATTGAATTGCGATGTAAGTTACAGAGCACCTAATTTTTTAATTCGGTACCTAAAAAAGCACCTAAAAAGTACCTAATTTTGGCATTTTCTAAATGCAATTTCCGTACTTTGCGTTGCTGGCGTAACAGAGCTAAATTTGACTATTATGAAATTTCCAAGTCGAATAATAATTTTGGGTCAAATAATTACTGAACTATTCGTTTCACGACGAAAACTTATAAAAGAATTTTTTCATTCAACTCATTGACTTCATGAACATTTTAGATATATTCAACTTTTCGAATAAAAAAGAAGGAATTTTCCAGTGTTTAAACAATATTTCCTGAACTATGGCAGATACGGCAAAATTGTAATTGAGTGTTTCTATAGGGTCTTAATTTAATTTCACAATATTGCCTTATCTACTAGTCTTAAGGAGGGCTAGATTACGATGTATTTAGAAAAGAAACAAGCACGTACAGGTATATTCCTGACAGTTCACACCTCTGTGGACAGCACAAACGTGCTGGGCTGAATTTTCTAGTGCATCGTCTTTTGACTTTTCCTCTCACACATGTTCACCAAAGAAAAACGTACAATGCAGGAAATAGCAGCAACTAACGATTACCCGAAGAGTATTGTTGATGACATAATAAGGAAAAAGAAGTTTAGGTTGAGAATAAACAGAATTTCGACTTTTAAAAAGGACAAAAACCAAGATAAATATATCTCAGTTCCATACCACCAATACACGAAGAACTTTGGCAAGATTTTCAAGGATCTAGGTACGATGGTGGTTTTTAAAACTAGTCATATACTATAGAGCCTTTTAGGAAGTCCAAAAGAGAAAGTCGAGAATTTGGAAAGTCTGGAATTTACGAAATTAAATGTAAGGAGTGCGATTCAAAATATTATGGACAGATAAAAAGATCTATTGAAATAAGGTATAAGGAACACTTAGCACACTTAAAATATGGAAGACCTGAAAATACAGCAGTATTAAATAGCAGCGGTAAATACATAGCAAATTTCTGTTTCAAACAGATAATAAAACATCATAAAATGGAAATTAACAAAAATTATTGAAAATCTTAAAAAGTTGCAGGTCATCAACGTTTGTCATTTCTACGCAAGATTTGCAATATATTTCTGCATGGTCCAGACATATGAATTTATTGTATTTGTTACAAATGTATTTTGTATTTCGATCACGGGCACCATGGCAATCTTGAGACCTTCCTTGACCATTTCGTTTGAGTCTTTTGGATGGAGGTACCACAGTTTCGCCTTTGATCTTCGAAATCTGGATAGTTTCTAACGATGCTAACATTATCGCTCGTTTCATCACCATCAGATTCGTCAATTTCATCATCACTTCCTATTTCATCCCATAAGGACTGAAGACGGGCCATTTCTCGTTCATAATCACCTATTTTTATCGAATAATTTGAAAAACTACTCAATTTGGTTTTCGTTGAATGCGCACAATTTTGGAACGTATAGAGACATGTGGGGTTTCGTGCACCCCAGTCGCTTTCTAACAGGTCTGATTGATACGCCAAATGACAACTGATTTGAGATGTGAATATGAGAGTGAAGACTATATGCGGAAGCTACTAAATATATCCGACGCTGGGGTGCCAATTTCGAAAAGTTATATGGAATTTTCTACGGCTGGGGTATGTCACACCCCACGTGTCGGACGCAGGGTTAAAACGCAAGTACCTATAACAGGTATCTATGATATAAATAAGGATAGTTAGTTAGTACGGTTAGTTTGATCTTCCTCTTGAAGATGATCACTTAGTGATCGAAACACGTGACGAGCTGTTGAAATAACGGTTTGGTGTTGGGAAAAAAAACTCCAGTGATATTAATTTACAGCAAATATGGAAGAACAGTAATAAAGTATTTTGTTTCTTTCACATCTTCAGTTTTTACCGATAAAATTTTCCAAGTTGATTAAGAAGTTTGAGACAATTGATTCCGAAAAAAAATCATATGACTTTATGATATTTGTAGAGACATACTCGTATATAAGAGGCTAACAATGTATATCCATGTGTCGTTGTTGATTAGAGAACTAAATTAATTCGAGTTATTCATGATTTCTTAATAATTTTTTTATTTTGATGTTTTTGTGAGTGTGATTTGAACCGTGATTTGATCATAATTATTGAATTTGTATGCAGTGTGCTTTTAGTAATGTTGAATTTGTTGTTTTTATGTTTCATTTTTTTAAGTATCTTCTGTATTTTAAACTTTATAGACTTCGTCACTGAGAGAATTTTCTAGAGGCAATGTATATTTACATCGATTGAATTTTCGAAATTGGGACGCTTGTCAAACTCAGTTATACAGATGAATATTTACCTAGTATCTATAAAGACGAGATCTTTCCATGACTTCACGATTCCTGTCGGGTGAGGCCATACGTTTAGGTAATTAGTGCACATCAGCTGACAGAGCTCCAACGTCGAGTAAACATCATTTTGTTCCTTGGCCATGCTTCTCGTACAAAGACCATTTTCGCACTTCCATGTCCAACTGAAATTTATAAATGAGAGGCTATGAGACATCAACAAACTCATTTAAATTGGTTATTTGCTATACATATGTGAGCGGTTAGTGAAAATGACTGAGCTATATATTTTTTTTTAACCAAAACAGGTTTCGAATGAACCCTACGATGAAATATGTTGAAGTAATTTCATTTTATCAGAAACAATACAGAGTATATTCAAATTTTTTTCACAACTCGTTTCAGGAACACGTTCCACATACTTGGTTTCATAAACCATATCAGTCTATATTATCACTCAACAGGCCTTGGAGATAGGCCACGGAATAAATGAAAATGTTGAGATCGATACATGACAACAGACTTTAGGACGCATTTGAATGCCTACAAGTTGAAAAATGTGAAATAAGATTCATAGCTTCAAAAGTGTAATCACAAACGGCCTTCAGTTTACTTATTTTCACAACAAAAGTAGCATGTAGGTAATTAAGTAGGTATCATAAAAACAATTCGGGATTGAAATAGAATAAAATATTAGCATAATATCTGAATCTGTAGAGTAGGGAGGGTGAGTGTAAGCCCACGCACGTAGTGGAAGCATGGTTCGAGAGAATCAATAGCGTGAAAATCAGACAAGGCATTGGAGCAGTAGTAGTACAAGTGCAGGCCTATGCGGACGACCAGCTTGTCATCATCGAGAGTAACTCTGTCGATAGCATAGAGGATAGATGGAAGTTTGTATGGAGCGAGTGCAAAGCATGGGAGGAAGAGATGTGGCTGAAGTATAACGAGAGGAAGACAGATTGCATGTTCATACCAAGTAGTAAGGATGAAAAACTTCCAGTACTGAGAATGAATGGAATAGAGATAGATCAAAAAACGAGTGTGAGATACCTCGGGATTATGGTGGACATAGGACTTCTGTTCATAGACCATCACAAAGAGGTAAGGAAAAAACTGAGCGGACTGGCAGGAAAATTGAGAAGGTGGACCGGAAAGAATGTTGAACTAAAGAGAGAATGTGTAAGGATGATATATGAAAGGGTAGCCAAACCTGCGGCAGTGTATGGAGTACAAGTCTGGGAGGAAAGGGCACATGATAGTAGGGTAAAAAGATAGCTGAGTGCGGCACAGAGGTCGTTTCTGTTAGCTTCAAGTGGAGCATAAAGAACGACGCCAACAGCTGTACTCAGCTGTTGGCTGAGGATGGGCAAAGAGAAAGAATTAAACTCAGTTCTAATCTTTCTCTTTGAAGATGATCACTTGGTGATCGAGGTGTTGAAAATAACGATTTGGTGTTGGATGAATGTATATACCCATTTCTTGGAATTGAATGAAATGATGATAATGAACCTTTTTACACGAATTGACTTATGGTCACTATGAAATAGGAATTGAAATGTAATTTACTCAAAATGAATAATTTTCACGATTCATTCAAACTGTAGGTGATGAAAAAACTGAACAGGGTTTTTCACCATTATAAGGCTAANCTGAGGACCGAATCAGGTTCTTAGAGTTCGGCAGATCCGTACTCTCACCATCTGACCTGAAAGACCACTCACCATACAAACTAATCGGCTTCGTTAAGAAGCTGGGTTTATTTGGCAGAATGTGAATAGGTGTGAGTCACAATAAACCCTTGTGGGTTACGGTGGAGGGTTGAATACACCCACTCACTTTAGACCTACCTACCTACCTACTTTTGAAAGGAACTATACCTAAATCAAGAAGAACATAAAGAAGGTAAAAAATATGCTAGCATAAGTTATTAATGGAAACTCTCAGAAAATATAAAGAACTATTTTTCAGAACTCAACATAGGCGCAACTTGACAATTTTTGCTAGTTCTGAAAATGACCTTATAAGCCGAGACCGGTCGTAACGAATAAATAAACACAATAGAAACTAGACAAAAGTATTTTCTTTATTCTATATTATATAATTAGTAGTTAACGTTTTGAAATGGACGACACTGTTAGTTTTTTCTGCACTGGCAGTTTTTGTTGATTCTAGTTTCCGCAGAACAATAAGTAAATAGTTGGCCACTGTCACTTCTTCACAAATTATTATTCAATCATCCTTGTTCACTGTGTTCCAACATGGTTTATTCTGCTGAAGAAAGAATAGAAATTGTTGCAACCTATTAGCGAAATAATGAATGTGCAAAAGTTGCTGTAAGAATTTATAATACGAATCATCTAGACCACAACGTGAGCCATAAATACGTTAAACAGAAGACCTGCGACAGAGAATTCTTCGGGAATGCCGATTTCTGACTCCGGACATCTTCAATAATATAAGGTACGCTTTCGAATGTAGACTGTATTATTGTGTGGAACTAGATTGAGGTCACTTTGTACAATTTATCCGTTGATGGTGTGTCAACACAATCAACGTTGTTGATTTCCTCAATAAAATGAGCGACAGCGAATGTTCTGTTTATTTTTGAATAAAACGTTCTCAAAACGTCTCAATAACGAGTGAACAAATTTCTAAAAAAATTACAGAAGTAATGGAGGGACCTTTCAAATGATGTACCACTCGACTTCCAAGCCGTTGAAAAACATAGAGGTCTAGTTGCTGACCGCAGGGAGGTGAAGTTTCGGGTATGATTTCCATATCAATATTAGTCCCCCTAGAAATGAAAATTTACATGTTCTTTGAAATTTTTTATTACAAGTCCGTTTCCGACTTACAGAGGGATCAAGTTTTCGTTGGAACGCCCTGTATCTAATTCTGTTCAAAATAATTTTCAAACTTATCTATACTTTTCTTCACATAATTTGACTTTATATAATAACTTGACTTTTTCACTACTCCCTATACCTTCAGTGTCATGAATTGAATTAGTGAATCAGCATGTTGATGAGATACACACTAATTCAATTAAAATTATAATTACTGAATTAGTCGGCACACTTATGAGAACACTATTCAAGGATTTTCTCGATGATTACTCACATCGAAGAGGTCCTTGCTAATGAAGAATGATGCAATGAGAGTAAACCGCCTTCAAAGAATTTCAAGTTCAAAGCTAAACACGTGGATGACTTCAGTTTATAGTGGTGTCATTGATGATTGCCAAGAACGAAGTAAAATATCAACAAAGTATGAAAATACAACCATCGTTTGTGAATTTCGATGACAGAGAAGGTGTAAACAGTTGACTTTATTGATATCAACTGTTGAAGATGACGTTGAAATTGTTTTCAACGAGTATCAATTTTCGAAGATTCGAGCGCAATTGCTCTCGTAAAAATGTCTTTGAAAGTTTTGCTATCAGACTGAAGTGATTGTTCACGAATGCTATTATCATATAAGCCACGAATGAATTAAGCTGTCAGGAAGATTTCTGCATCTGATTTCTTGCACTCGCATGTGAATACTCAGTCACTTATGTTACTCTTAAGTGTACTTATAAATTCTGGAATTGATTGTTGTTCATTTTGATAGATTGACAAAAAGTGATGTTGCGCAACTAAAACGTTCTTCTTTGGTGCAAGATGTTCTTCCAATAACTTTATCAATTCCTCATATGTCAACTGATCAGAAGTTATAGGAGCAGCCAAAGCTGTAATGTTGAAATTTTGAGCTCCAATAGAATTTAGTAGCAATTGAGCATAATAAGGCTTATTTGTATTGATCTGCTTCATTTGAAGGTAATTCTGGAACCTGCTTTTGTAATTTGAAAACGATTCTTTCTTGCTGTCAAAGTTTTCGAAGTTAGCTAAAAGTGCTGTATTCATCACATTTTCTCCCTTGCTTGATGATTCACTGTTTGTCTGACTCTGTGAACTTCGTAATTGAGAAAAGAGAGTAGATATCATTGCAGTTTGAAATTCCATAAATTCTTTGAACTGTTGTGCGTCCATTTTGAATATTTTTGTTTTCGATTATTTTTCATTTTTATAATCTTTCTAATTCACCTCGTCGCCAAAACTGTTGTGGTTTGATTTGATACTTGATTTGATATATGTATGAATCACACTTTATAATGAATATGTGAGTTCTCCTGGTGATCTTTTTAATTGACATCTATTTAACAACTTGGATAATAATTTACACTAATGATATCACGGGTGTCCCAAATATATGTAATACACAACAGAGAAACACTCTTATTTATAAAGTTTGCTTATGAATCATAAAAAAAGTTATTGTTAATAAAAATGTTCCAAATGGGAATAGATAAAATTGAGTTAAATAATCAGAGAAACTTTCAAGATCACGAAAATTATTCAAACAGAAAATAAACAATTTGCTTGAAGGTGGTTGACAATATTTCTTGGTAAACTTCATTGGTTCCGACTTGTCCAATATGATATAAAATTGATACAATTGTTATTTTCAGCTTTTCTGCTTAATTTTATTGATTATTTCAGGGCTTTCAAATCATTTTATATCATATTAGACAATGGAAATCTGAACTAATGAATTGTAGGAAATCAAACAAGCCTGTGAAAATTACTAACAAGACTTTCCACAAATTAGTATTTCTATTGATTCAACAAGATTCTGGTCTTATGTACATCATAAAAATGAACAGTTACGTAGGTATTCCCGAAGTAGAAAGAAACAAAGTACATGGTAATGGGAGGGGTATCTAGGGGTAAAAGTGACAGAAAAATTGACGAAAATCAAGAAATGGAATCAATAATCATATAAGAAAATGGAAAATACTTAGTCAAAATGAGTTTCCAGTGAAGCCGAGGAAAGATAATATAAGTCAGTAGTTAGGGAAAAGATGGGAAAGGACCAACGAACAGTATATGAAGGAATTCATACAGAAGACGGTTGGAGAAGAAGAACTAATGAAGAATTGAAAGATTTATGTAAAACACCAAAAATATTAGCAATAATGAAAGCCCAAAGAATCAGATGGATAGGACATGTTTACAGATTGCAAAATAATAGAATAGCCAAAATGATTTTGAATAGAAAGCCAACTAGAAAAAGTAAAAAGAAGTTTGTGGGAGAGATACCAAACGATACCAAAGGATTTACAAGGAATAAACGTTCTGAA